CCCACTGAAACTGAAGCAGACACCAAATCTTGATGTTTTCTCACAGCTGTGTCCTGACACTGGTGACACCTGCAGAGAACTGACATGTTCAGCTCTGTATTTTCAGCTCTGTGGGACATGGACAAAAATTTGGGGCAGGATGATCCTAACTGGAGACTCCTTAGGGTGAGGTCTTGGCCCTGCAGCCGCGGGGTTTGCCATGGGGAGATCTGTCCTGGCTGTCCATCCCTGGGACCTCAGGGAGCTGAGGAGCCTCTCTGGCCGCAGGAGGTGTCTCACAGGCAGCTGGGGCAGCAGCTGAGCTCTGGAATCCCATCTGCACTGGAGCCTGGGGGCAGGAAAGCTTTGGCCGAGGGAGGGCTGGGACCAGCACTGTGTGCAGCGTCCCTGCCTGTCCAGCAGTGACATCCAGGGCAGGCACCTGGCTCAGGCAGCTGCAGCTTCACAGCCCTGCCTGCCCCCAAATCTGCTCTGGGTGGGCACCCCCACTCTGAATTCCCTCTCAGGCTGATTTCTGAGCATGCTGAGCCTGGCCTTGCTGCAGGCTCCCTTCAGGTGCCAGGAGCAGCAACAGCAGACCCAGCAGAGCCAGCTCTCACTGGGCATTCCCAAATGAGCCTTCTCTCACCCAGCAGCTGCAGAAAATACAGCAACAGGATCTAATGCCAGCTCACCTGGTAAAGCTGGGGAGCCAAGTGTTGTGGAGAGAGTGTTGGCATCTATTTTTATTTTCTTTAATAGGAGGGTTTAATTTCTGTGTATCTGGAAAGAGCAGGTTAAAAGCACAAGTCAGTGTTAAGTTAAAGTATGCATACAAGAAATAAAAATAGCCCGTGCTGGGCTTCGTGGAGAGAAGGAGATCTTGCACCATTTCCATTAAAAATGGCATTTAAGTGGAAGGTGAGCTTGAGACTTTGACAGGACCATGTCCATCCCCTTTGGAGCCTGCTCCTGCAGAGCCAGGGTAGAGCAGCTTTCCCTGCTGATGATGCCTCACTGATTTTTGTGTCCCTTTTGAGTGTGGGGAAGGTCCACTGAAAAGAAAAATAACCAGATTTTTTTCCTGAAATATCCCTATCAAAATCTTCTCCTACAGACAAGCAACTCTCCTGCTGGATATCTCATTTAGGAATAATTGATGTGCTCCTCTTTCCTCCTTTCTGTGATGGAAAAGGGCATTAAAGGTTGTGCTCAGGTGCCATCCTCTGTCTGAAGATGACACGGAATATTTGGGCTTTAGTAAAGCTCAGTTCCTGCATTTTCCAGCACCTGCTGAGCCTCAAGGCCGGGCCTGGGACATTGTCTGGGATGTGAGTCCCAAGTCCCCAGGGTGGCTCTGAGATTTGGCCTTGCCCACTCAAGGGAAATCAAGGAAAATGAGACCAAAAAAAGTCCTGGAAAGGAAAAAGGCATCAAAAGAAAAACAAATAAACAACCAAAAAAAAAAAAAAAAAAAAAAAACCAAAATGACTGAAAAACCCTGTAAGTCCACACCTCCCTTCCTGTTCTCCGTGGTTTGGAGGGGATGGTTTGGGGGGTGGGAGATCTGTTTTCACTCAAGAGCGGGGCCATCCTGCCGTGCTGGGTCCATCCCCACGGGCCCTGCACCCCTCTGGGCTGAGGTGGCTGCACCCCAAGCCCAGGGGCTGGGCAGAGCCTGGGCAGGTACCAATAACCCTGGGCAAGGTTCACCCTGCTCTGCCCAGAGCCCAGCTCCCAGCCCCGGCAGTTGTAGGGGTCAAGCTAATGCTGACACTGGGGCCTTTGATTGCGTTTGATTCATGTCCTAACACCACTGGTAGGTCAGATGGGCTGTTAATCCAGATTCCCTTCCCCCTTACACATTGGAAATAACCCTGGGCAAGGTTCACCCTGCTCTGCCCAGAGCCGAGCTCCCAGCCCCGGCAGTTGTAGGGGTCAAGCTAATGCTGACACTGGGGCCTTTGATTGCGTTTGATTCATGTCCCAACACCACTGGTAGGTCAGATGGGCTGTTAATCCAGATTCCCTTCCCCCTTCCACATTGGAAAAAAAAAAAGGAAAATGAGAAATAAGTTTAGTGGGTGACTTCCTAGCTCGCCTCAAGGCTTGTGGTGCCAACTGGCTGCAAGCTCTGGGTGCTCAGAAATGCATTTCCTCCTCCTCAGTTTTTTTTGTTTGTTTGTTTGTTTTGTTTTTGTTGGTTTTTTTTTTTGTTTGTAGGCTTTTGGGTTTTTGGAATTTTTCTTTTTTGGTTTTTTTTGGTCTTTGGGGTTTTTTGGGGTTTTGGTTTTGGTTTTTTTCTTTTTTTTTTTTTTTTTAGTAGCCTGCTGACTAAAATGCATTGGAAGGAACAAAAAAAAAATCTCAGCTGATGTGTGGAGCAGAATCTGGTGGTGAGGTGGTTGTAGCCTGTTTCAGGGGGACCTGGGCTGCCTGGGAGGCTGTGGTAGAAATGGGGTCTCTCTGCTTTGCCGTTTGCATTTAATCCCAGGGATTCCATTTCCATCTAATCTTGGCAGCTGGAGGCTGGAGGAGGAAGGTTTGCTGCAGAGCTCAGCATCACCACCCGTTTTCTGTCTGTACAGAGCTTTTGTCTGCTTGAATGTGCTTTTGCATGTGATAGGGTTTTTTTTGTTTTTTTTTTTTTTTTTTTTTTTTCCAGCTGATAAAATGTATTTGTGTGATAAAATGTATTTGGTGTCGCTAAAAGGCCGGATAATCAGACTGTGGGTGTGCTCAGCCAGGGCACGCAGGGTGGTCAGGGGACAGCCACCCCGGCGGGCGGTCCGGGGCGATGCTGCGCGGCAGCCGGGCTCCGTCATTCCCGGGATGCGGGATTTGGGATTCCCCCGGTTTCCCCGGCCGTGCGGGCGGCTGGGAGCGAGCAGGAGCTGCCGCCGTGGATTTGGGAAGGAAGAGGCCGGGGAGCAGCAGCCCAGGGGGTACCTGGGGCGCGACACCCCCGCTGGAGGCTGAAAATAGCGCCGGGAGGGCCCTGGGCTGGGGACGGCTGCTGCGGGCAAATGACCAATTAGGGAATCTTTGTCAGATTCGGGAAAGCCGAGATAAGTCCCTTTTATCAGCCTATAAAAATACCACTTTCACTTATCTGGAGCTACCTACGCCGCCCAGCTGCGGGAGCCGGGCGGGGGGAGCGGAGCCGCTCCGCAGACAGAGGAGGAGTTTCGGATGCGCCTGACAGCCAGGGGGGTTGGAAAACCCTTTTCTGCCGCAGAACGAGCCCTTTCCCCTCAGCTCTCTTCCCCCCGGCTCTCCTAGCCGCACTCTGCCTGCGTGGGGAATCCAAATTTTCCCTTTTCCTCTCATTTTCACCCGTTTTCCCCGGTGTGATGGCTCGGCCAGGGGGCAGAGGAGCCGAGGAGATTCTGGGGCAATGAGGAGGGAAGAAGGGGCACCCAGGGGCACGGGGGAACCAGTCCCCTTGTGCACTGAAATTCCCGTATTTACATGGAAACGCTCAGATCCACGGGGATCCATCCTCCCCCCGAGGCCGTGCGTGGGGCTGGGTGTTTTCTGGGCACCCCAAAAATCTCCTCCTGCATCTGTGCCTGTGCATCTGAAGGCGTCTCCGCCCGGATCCCCACACGCGAGCGGAGGATCAAGACGTGGAGAGAGTGCTAACATGAGTTCCTACTGTGGGAAAACATGCTGCACTTTGATTATTTTTTCTGTGGTTTCCAGGCTGTTTGGGCTGTAGCAAAACGAGCAGATAGAGCGTGGAGGGGGAAAAGAAACCCAACAGGCAACCCAGCTCGCAGCGCTGCTTTCTAGGTTTTTGAGAGGCTGCTGGGGAAGAGAAAAATGCGGAGAAAATATGGTTTTCGTTAAAAAAAAAACGCCAAGCAGTTTTGCTGGGTTGGAAAGAGGGCAGAGAGGCAGCTGTTCCCCCCTCGCCCTTCATCCCCCGGATCCAGGCCCGCAGCACTCCCTGCTATTATTGTTTTTTGGGCAGAACAAGCAAATCTGGCTGGCACCGAGTGAGAGCCTTGGCCGGCGTGGGGTGAAGTCGCCTCTCTTGGGGCTTGGGCAGGCAAAACTTTGAGCTGGGCTTTTTGTGGAGTGGTTTCTCTTTCGAGGAATAACCTCGGGCAGGGAGAGGAGCAGGACGCTGCCTGCTCAGCAGCGGTGCCGCGGGGCGTGGGGCGACCCTTGGGGGGGCTCGGGGAAGGGGCCCGGCACCTTTGGCACAGATTTGCTGGAAGAGCTTCCAGATTCTTTTCCAAATATAGCCCCGGGGCGGCCGCCCGGCTCGCAGCTCCTGCGGGTGCCCTTCCCGCAGCCCAGGGGGACAAGCGCGACCCCGCAGCCGGGAGGGAGCGGGGACGGGGTGACCCCCGTGGCAACACGCGTGGAAGCTCAGAGCCCATCCCCATCGCTCTCCGTTCTCCCGGGACACCGAGCAGGCTTTTTTTTTGCGAGAGGATGGGTTTTGTGGTCCCTTCTCCGCGCTGTCACCTCCGATCCTTCCCCGAGGGTGGCACCGTCCCCGCCGCCCTGGCCCGGGCCAGCAAGGAGGGCCGAGGGTTTCCGTTCCTATCCTGACCCAAATCTGGGAATTCCCACCCCAAAAGGCCCTGGCAGGAAGGGCTGCTTGAGGAGAACAGCGGTGTGTCCCCAACCGTTCAGCTTTGGGGGGACACGCGGCTTTGGGGACAGACCCCCCCTTTCCCTCAGAATTCCCGTCCTGGAGCGAAACCCGGGCTGGGGGAAGGAGGCAGAGCCTGGGGGGCATCTGGGGTGAGGGGAGCCCTCCCCGCCAGGCCTGGGAGCCTTCAAAGATCATTTCCCCCGCGATAAATGGGATTTCCACCCGCACCCCCCGGCCCGCAGCCCCTGGTTCCATTATAAAAGGCTCCGCTTGGGATATTTCTCCCCCATCACGTTTTTATAGCGAGATCAAGGACAAACTTGTTGCGGGTCTTTGGAATTTTATTTTCTGTAGATTTTTTTATTTTTATTTATATTTTTTTCAAATTCTTTTCGGGGTAAAGCTCGGAGAAATTTGCGGTTCTCCCGCCGCAATTAAGAGGCAGAGGGAGCGCGATCTTGATTGCTCCTGCTCGTTCTGCTCGCTTCGGAGGTGGGGAAGGGGAGGGGGAGACGGGACGACGGGAGGGAATTGATTTTAGATTTCTCTTTTATGTCGGGTCTGGTTTCTGGTGATTAAATTTCTCTCTTCTGTGGACTGAACCTCGGGATAACTGATTAATAACATGCCACTTGGCGCCAACACGGGGTCTCGAGGCCTTTAATCGGCAAGATGCACAAGAGAACAGAGAGAAACACAGAGCAGGACAAAACTCCACCGACTATTTCAGCCTGCTGCTCTCTGCCTCGGCGGATTTTTTTTTTCCCTCCCCCTCATCTTTTCAGTATTTCCTGCTAAACTCGTAAACTTTATTTGATTTACAGCTATTTCATGAACCTGCTTAAACTAACATGTGTTCCGTCTTGTCCGACTGAATCATAAAAACAATCTTGGATCCAAACGAGATTTTTTTTTTTTTAAAGGAAGAAACGAGTTATTAATGACAGAAAATAGACATTGTCTTGAGCGGCGGCTCCTCGGGCCCCCGCAGCGGGGAGGTTGCGGCTCCTGTGCCCGCAGCCTGCGGGGGGACCCGGGCTCGGCCCCGCAGGTCCCGCCCGGGCTCCGGGGGAGATTTTTTTTTTTATGCAGAGATTCGAGCGCTCCTTTCCCCTCTGCAGAATTTTTCGTTGGAAATGAACGATTTTCAAGCCAAAACGAGCTGGTAAAAGCATTAACCCGCGGCCCCTGCGGTGGCAGCCTGGCAGACACACACGGGGCAGGTAAACACGCCTGGCTGCCCCCCAAAAATCCCAGGCAGGAACGAAACGAGCTCCTGAAATTTTCTCCAGTGGGGTGAAAGCAGAATTTTTTTGTCCCCAAAACCACAGACAGAGAAGCAGGTATCAACAGGAACTGTTGATATCCATGGAACAGGTATAAATCTATAGGATTGGATGGATGGAAACACACGCGGGTTTATTAAAAAAAAAAAAAAAATCAGATTTACCACACCGAGTAGCGACACCACCCAAATATTCAGCCCCGATTCCCACCTCTGCTTGTGTGGAAAAGCTCTCCAGGGAAGATACCTGCTACCCTCAGGATTAACTCCCCGACACTTCGGGAAGCAGGATGGGGCATCCCACTGCTCCCAGATATCGCTGATAACCCGCGGGCTCTGCCCCTCCAAAACCGATTTCTCTGCTGTGCTCGGGTAGCTCAGGGCCTTAAGCTGCAGTTCGGGACCTCACCCGGCCCTGGAACAAGAGAGGAAATGCTCTTTTTTTTTCTTCTTTTCTATTCCTCCTGTGGTCATTTTTTGGTATTTAACGTTTTCTGGACACGCACGCAAAACAGATCTCAAGAACTCTTTGGGTTATTGATATAATCTGTATTTTTCCTGCAGAGATAAAAGTGAATTTTAGGGAGCCCGTGATACCCGTCCAAGGCCGAGCTCACAGCCACCCCCCCGCCTCCCTGGGAGCGTCTCCCGCTCCCAAAATTCGTGGATAGCGGGCATACAAAGGATAATGTGGATATCCAGAGCGGCCGCGCTGCGCTGTCGCTCGGCGTTATTTAGGGCAGGGGAAGAAAAGCGACCGGGGGCGAGAAAAGGGGGGAAAACGGAAAATGGGGAAGAAAAGAGGTGAGAGGGCTTGGAAAGGAGAAAAGAGAGGAAAAAAAATGAGTTGGAGAGAAAGGGAGGAAGAAATTCGGTCGGGATGAGGGAACTGGGGATGCCCGGGTGTCCCCCCGCCCAGGGCTGCTCTCCCCGGGAGAGCGAGGGAAGGAAAAACATTCACAGGTGATGCTTTGGGGCTTTTATCAGACACGGAAAAGATCCCAACCCTGCGGGATCGGGCTCCTTTTGCCACCCCCGCCCGCCCTCCAGGGTCAGGGCAGGATCGCTCTCAGGGGCAGGCACGGGGCGCTGAGGATTTCCCCTTTTTTGCCCCCATTTCGTTTCTTCCCAGGCAGCGAAGGGAGCCAAGGCCTTATCAGCTTTTATTTTCTCCTCGGGGCCGAGATAAGGCCCTGATTGTCGCCCTGGTTGGGCAGAGCAGATCAGTCCGGAATGGAGCGTGCCAAAAAATCCCCCACGGCGATGGCACGAAGAGAAACGCAGCACAATTCCATCTTTTCCCGGGCAACACTGGGGAAAAACCGGGGAGGGGGTGGTGGACCCCTGTCTCCCCGGACTCCCCTCCCTGAAAAACGCCTTTTGGAGGGATCGGGGGAAAGAGAATGGATCCCTTCTGCTCCACTGGGGATTAATTTGGGGATCCTCAGGCTCTGCTTGGCGTCCAGGAGGAAAAGGGATCTTCACCCCACGCGTGGGAGGTGAGGAAGGAGCGCTGTGCCCGCGCCTCGCCAAGCCCTGCCTCTGCCCCGCTCCTTCTTTTTCATTTTCCTCACTGTTTCAAAGCCTGCAGCTCGCCTGGGAAATTAATGGGCTCAGGGAGGGGAAAGGGTTTTAATTGCAATTTTTTTTTTCTTAAGGTAGCCAGAAGGGCGGGAAAAAAACCCCAACAAACCAACAAAAACCAAATCCAAAACAGCCGAAACCACAAACTTTAAAAGAAAAACGCTATTCACCTGTAATTAAAGAAGAAAAAAAAAAAAAAAAGGGAAAGAAAAAAGCTCGAGCCAGGTATCTACCCCCGAAGGCTCGTCTAAAGCAATTCTCCAGCACTAAAGGCAGGATTTTGTAATGGAAATAATGACACGACAGAACTGTATTGGTGGGACTTTCGTACAAATATTTTGTTGATACCAACTCTCAGATCAGCGCAGTCAGTCCCTGCCCCCACGACTGAGGGGAAAGAAAATAGGAAACAACTGGGACAAAAAACCCAACACATATTAAAAAACCCAATAAGTGAATGGACAAAAATGCTTCCAGAGAGGAGGATTCTTTTAAACACTTGTTTGCTCCCAGGTGCGTATTTCGCCAAAGCGAAAAGCGGCCAACAAAAGGGAAATAAAAGCAAAGAGAGAACTGGTCCGAGAGGGGAAGTAAATTATCTAAAAATGGAAAGGAAAAATAATAATCCCTGCTAGGAGGGAGCTGATTTTCGCTGAAAATATGGCAAGGAGGGAGAAAAGAGCGTGGGGAAGGCACGAGCGCTGATGTCTCTGTATTTCACAAGCCGGGCGGCCGCGCTGCCCCGTCCTGGGCAGGACGAGGAGCAGCGAGAGAAACTCAAAATCCTCTTCGGTTTGGTTAAGCCGACCCAAAAAAGTGATTTTAAAGGGGTGTGGAGGGCGGGCGGGGGGAGAGCGAGTTCACGCTCGGCACTATTTCTTACTGCTGACACCTCGACCCCACTGCGAGCCAGCAGCCCGGCCACCCCCCTGCCTGCAGCTGGCCGGGAAATCCCGCAAGGAGAAAGCGCCGGGGCCAGGGACACCCTGCGGGGCCGAGCGGGGCTCCGGCATGCGGGGCTGCACAGCCGGGTCCTGCCCGCCCGAGGGGCTGAAAAGCCGGGAGGCAGCCCCGAGGGGCTGCGGGGACTCGGGGGGCACAGCCACGGAGCCGCCAGCCCCACGGAGGTAAGGGCTCCACGGCGCTTGGGGCCGGGGATGCGTGTGGGGGGTTCTGTTTCTGGATTATATATAAATATTTATGTATATAGGGAGAGTGCGGTGCACAGGCGGCGCGTCCACGCTGATCGCTCGCCCTCCTTCTGCTGGTGCGCGGGTTTGCGCCCACTCCCACTGAGCTGCGGGCAGATTAAGGCTTGTGTGCGCCCAAAAATCTGCCTTTAAACCCCGGGTGAAACGTAAATATCCATATAAAACCCATAGCGGGTGGGGCAGGGATGGCTTGAGCTGGAGGAAACGCTGTTGGGCAAGTGCTTGTGGAGATCTCGTCACCTGCACATCCACACGCGCGATTTTTGTGCTGTGCCTGGGGGTATTTCCGTGTACAAACAGCCACGTTTATTCACGAGGAACTCTTGGGTCTCAGCACTGGTGTTTTAGTCTAAAGATATCAAATAAATAATACATGGAAGAGCCGGGATAGAAAAATCGCTTAAAGGCTTGAGCGAGGAGGCATCGTGTGCGGGGGCGTGTTTGCAAACGGGGTGTCCGCACCCGTACACGCACATCTGTGTTTAAATACCTGTATTTACGTGTGTCTGTCTGCATCTCTGCGTGTGCCGCTCCTGTGCCCCCTCATCCTCGCTCCCGGCTCTGTCTGTCCCTCCCCGGCAGCAGCAGCGGGATCCGCGCTGCTCCAGCCCCCGGGGCTGCTCCGCGCTTCCCTCGGGGCTGCGGGGGGACCTCGGGGGACACCGGGAGGGGATGCCGGCTGTGGGGGAAGATATTTTAATTCTCATTTCGGGCGAGGTCCTATCCTGCTCCGCTGCCAGCAGTTTGGGCGCTCGGTGCCAACTGCAGAGCCATCCTCGGTGGGTTTTTCCCTTCTCTCAGGGATTTTTCCCTCCATCCCGGACATTTGGGAGGACTGACAAGCACGGCCAGATCCAGCAAATGGGGGCATCAGGGTTAAGGGGGCCTTTTCCTCCCTAACCCCCTTCCTTTTTATTTTTTTTCCTCCATCCTTGCTGGTGCTTTCCCTGCGGGCCTGGCTCCCCGGAGCGCGCAGAGCTGGGCCCGGGGAGCTCGGGGCAGAGCAGGCAGGGCTGGGGGGCTGCCTGGGCCCGAGCAGGGCTGGGATGCCCGCCGGGAACTCACCTGGGCAGCCTCCGGCTCCCGCGCGGCTCCTCGCTCTTCCTTAGTGTTTATTTCCTCGGTCCCCGCTTCTCCTCCTCTCTTTTTCTGTTGGAGGAAAAAACGCTTTAGCACCTTTTTCTCTATATGTGTGTATTTTTTTCCTTTTATTTTTTTCCTTTTATTTTTTATTTTTCTTTTTAAAAAAATTTTATTTTAATTAGAGTGAAATTTTCCTTCTACCACCGGGTGTGCATCCCAAAATTCCTCCACATTAAGGGAGAGCTGGGACACGGGGCAGCGCCAGCGGCATCTCTGCAGCCACTGGCTGCACTTGGAGGGATCTGAAGGTTTTTGATTTTTTTTTTCCCCTTGTCAATCTCATTTGGCAAATAATCGCCTGGCCTTACTACTTTTTTTTCCCCTTCCCTTTTCCCCCCCTATATTTTTTTTTTTATTTAATCAGAGCAAATAATTGGTTCCCGAAGCACACTTGAATCCGTGCAAATAACCAGGTTATCATTTGCTATATATAGCCCGGCGTGCTGGCTTCCAGAGGCGCCTGAGCGTTCATTGAGCAAGTTTCCCTCCCTCTCTCACAGAATTATTTATTTAGAAAAAGAAATTCAGCTGAATAATGGCAACCCCGTTGGATTATTTAACTTGTGGCGAAGAGGGAGTTTTGCTTCCGCTTTCCCCCTTTTCTGCTCCGAGCACGGGTGGGTTTCCCTGACGATTCCAGGGGCTCCGTGCCTGCTCGGGAATGACACAAACCCCTCACACCCGCATGCCTAAGTCTGCCTCGTGAATATCTATATTCATATGTATAAACATATAGAGGTCGCACACACCCAGCCACGGTTATTTTGTATTTCACCGAATGGATTTCTTTCGGGGAGGAAAAAAAAAAAAAAAGGGGGCAGGAATCTCCCTGATAGAGCTTTAAAAAGAGGAGAATAATACAAATTAACCTTCCATTACTGCTGCAGTCAACCATGACAGAATAGGCCAGTTGCGTGGTTGGTGACGTCTCCGTGTCCTATAGGAGCAAAGCTCGTGAGATAGCAGCTATCGCCTTGAACTCGCTTTATTTTATCGGAGTATGGCTGGTAATAAACAGTAATATTTAATTTGTCTGAGACCACAAACCGGCTTCGAGCTGGAAGGCTCCTCGCCTTGCCTTCCACTCCTGGGGGAGCCTGAATTTGCCGTTCTTTTTTTCCCCAGCTGCTTTTTTTTTTTTCTTTTTTTTTCTTTTTTTTTTTTCTTTCCCTCCTTGTCCACTCCTCCCCCCCCAACCTGCAGACGGAAATAAATTCGATTTATTTGCATCGTTTTCAACTTGTCTTCAAGGTGTTTGAGAGCTAGTTTGGCACTGGAGAGGTGAGTGCTTTTCTAGGCAGCGGCCGTGCTCGGGTTCGCTCTTCCGAACTTCAGCATTTTCACTTCTCCCTTCCTTTCCGCCCAGGGGAGGGAAGCTCTGGCTCTCTGCGAGAAACCTTTCTCCTCGTTGCTTTTGCTTCTTTTTTTTTATTATTATTTTTAAGGAAAATCCCGCTGTCCTTTCGGGGATGCTCGCAGCACACGTGCGGCGCGGGGCCGGCCGCGCTCCCCGCGCGTTCCCGCGGCTTCCCCGCACCTCCTGCCCCCTGCCCCGCTGCCTTCCCGCACCTTCCCCCGCGTTTGCGGCCCTGGGAGCAGAGCCAGGGCCGGGAAAGGCCCCGCGGAGCCTCCGCTGCCCGCTCGCCCCAGGCCGGGGCCGCTCCTGCGGGGAAGGAGCGCCCGCTCTGCTGCCTCGTTTATTTGTGTCTGGAAGGGCTCCACGGCTCCTTTCCTCTCGAAAAATAATGAAATATGGGGCGAGCTTCGCTCTGTTTGTTTAAGTAGCGTTCTCTGGCTGATTCTCTGCGGCTACAAGTGCAGTTATTTTATTATTCTTATTTGCGAGCGTTTACTGTTGGCTGTTTGTCCTCAAGTAGCTGTTGGGACTGGCGTGCACATGGGAAGGGTTCGGAGATGCCAAACTGCAGCCGCGGACTCGCCCCCCTCCCCGAGAGCCGCTCGCCCCCAGACTTTCCCCTTCCTCACCTCAAACTTTCAGAGGGCTCCGCTGTTATCGCGCCCTGCGAGAGCTGGGAGCGAGGGTGGGTTTGCTGAAAACTTCCTCGAAACGCCAAAAAAAAAAAAATTAAAAAAAATAGAAGAAGAAGAAATTGTCTGAGAGGCAGAAAAGAGTGAGGGATTTTTTTTTTTGGGGGGGGGGCACGGGACAGAGCAGAGGGTGGGGGCAGCAGCAGCAGCAGCAGCAGGAGGAGGAGGAGGGTGGGCAGAGCAGATCTGAACCATGCCATTTATTCCGAGTCTTATCAAAAATCCGCCTCGCCAATCTGGTTCTCTTCAGCCTGCAGAATGCGACAGGGAGGCTGTTTACCCTGCGCTGACCTATTCAACTTTACCCTCCCAATAATACATTAAAAAAAAAAAAAAAAAAAAAAGAGGGAGCGAAGGAAGATGCAGATAAACCCCCAGCCCCGCTCCTCGCTGACGGCTTGATTATTTGAGCTCCGGGGGGCTGCGGCCGTGGCAGCGCGGCGAGGGGTGAGGAAGAGGATGGCAGAGGGCAGGGGAAGGAGCCTGGATGCGGCCACAAGCGGGGACAAGGGACACAGCCCCGCGCACACAGCCCCGGGCCTTCGGTCCCGCTGCGCCGCGTTTTTGGGGGGTTTGTACTCATTAGGAAAATCTATTTTAGGGGAACACCCCGCGCCCCCCAATAAAAGGCCTCTGTGAGCACCAGCGAATTTAGAGCTGGGTTTAAATCCACACGTCCGGGCTGCCTTGAGGGCGGGAGGGGGAACTGGGGGTGGTGCGAGCTTAGCGGAGCCAGCGATTTATTCAGGGCTGGGGGGGCAGGATATTCCCAGCCGCTGAATTTTCTCTTTGGTTGGGAGAGATGGATGGAGGAGGGAGGGAGGGAAGGAGGGAGGGAGCGGGGAAGGAGGTAAAGGAGAGGGGGAGGGTTGCTGCGGAGTTTGATGATTGTCTTTGTGCCTTGTTCTTGTTTGCCGGCCAGAAAAATAGGCTGGAAAAGGAGGTTTGGGGGGGAGGGCGGGAGGGAGGGCTGTGGGAGAGGGAGTCTCTCCGGAGCAGGATCCCAGCTGGTTGGGCAGTGGGTCCCGGCACTTGGCGAGCGGAGCTGGACGAGCCCACGTCACCTCCGCGCTCCGCTCGGCTCCTCCGCGCCCCGCGCCCGGCTCCGCGCCCCGCGCAGCGCCGCGAACCTGCCCGGAGGAGCGGGGGTTACCGCCGCCCGAAACTTTTTTCTTCTTCTTTTTTTTTGCCGAGAGAGTGCTGCTTTCTTTTTCTTTCGCCCTCTCGCGCTGTCTCTCTCTCTCTTTTTTATTTTTTTTTTAATTACTATTTTTAATTTTAAAATTATTTTTAGCTGGGCAGCAGCGAGAGTGGGCTGGGGAGAGCTGCATAGATCAGGCTGAGAAAAGAGTGGGGGTGGGGGCTTTATCTTGGTCTCAGGATCCTTTCTAGCGCGTCTGACAACCTGGAAGTGTTTGGCGAGAGCAGGAGAGAGAGAGAGAGAGAGAGAGAAGCAGGCTTGCATTGGATAGATTTTTTTCTTCCAGGCTGTGTTTTCACATGCTGATCCGCAAATATAAATAAATAAAAGGAAATATGCACACGAGAAGCCTGATCCCATTGTAATTTCCATTGCAAACGGGGGAAATAGAGCCACACATTATATATGTGGAGATGCATTGATTGCATGGAACTCAACGAGCAAGGTAACGGCTCTCGCATTGCCATGTCTGTCCGTCGGGGTCTGTCCGTGTGTGCGGGTGCGTGAGCTGTGCACAGCCAGGGGCTGAGGGGAAGCAGCGGGGGCTGCTCTGCCCAGCGCTCCGAGGGGCTGGGGGGGCCCGGGGCGAAGCCGGAACAAAAAGCAGAGGGTGGTGATTTTATTTAATTTGATTTTATTTTTTTTAAATTCCCCCCTTGTGTTTTTTCCCCCTCGCGAACCCACTCGGCGCTACTTTAGCAGAGAGAGATGCATTTTTCATCCAGCCACCGCGGCCTGGTTCTGTCAAGCTCCATTTCTTCTCAGAAGCTCTTTTAAGGGGAAAAAAAAAGAAAGGAAAGAAATTAGAAGCCACGGATCACCAAATGCTCTTAGTTGTGGGCTTATTTTTTTGTCGTCACACCCTCTGTTTTTAAAATTATGAATATTTTTATATCTGATTAATTATGTCTGGGCGCGGAGAGCATCGAGGAGGCTTCGCTGGGCTGGGCTGGGCTGCCATGGCTGGGTCCTTCTTTGTTTTAATAAACATGCTTTAGGGGTTTTTATTATTATTTTCCCTCGCTCTACCCCCTAACCTTGCCAGCTTTAGGGGAATCATAGCTCCAAGCTGGAGGGAAATCGATTATAAAATGCATAAGCGGCACTTCCCAAGGAAAAAAAAAAAAAACCCAAACAAACAAGACACCACAACAGTCCAGGAGGAAAAAAAAAAAAAAAAAAGGAGGAGGGGAAGAGAAAAGCCTTAAATGGTCCCTGGAGCTGCGGCTCTGCCCCCACGGGCTGGGCCCGGGCCCGCGCAGCGGCTCCCGCAGCGCCCCGCGCACTTTCCGCGCTTTCGCTTCGCCCTGGGCTCTGCGGCGGGTGCGAGCTGGGAAAAAAACCCTTGGGAAGAGAGGGAAGGAGGGAGCGAGCGGGCACGGGCCGTGCCTGCACAGCTGCAGCTCCAGAGGTGCGGACCTGGAGTCCCCTCGCTTTTTGTCCTTTTAAATTATAAATCCGTCCGTGTGTGCCTTACCCACCACCCGCGGGAAGAGCATTTTCTCCCCCCTCCTTTCCACTCCCAATTTTCCTTCGCTTTTAAAGGAGAATTGCCTTTTTCTCGCTCTCTCTGCTCGATTTTGAACAGCTTTCAAATACTGTTGCAGGGCGAAGAACTCATTTAAAAACATTCTCATGTATTTAAACCCAATATTGCCTCCATATGGTTGGCCTTTCAAAACTGAATCCCTTTCGTTGAAACATGCAAGAAATATTTTTTAAAAGCAGCTCAAACTCCCAACTCCTTAAGAACAATAAAAACCTAAACAGATAATTCAATGGCTTTTATCTTTTTTGGGTTTTTTGGTGTTTTTCGTGGGTTTTTTTTTTTTTTTTGTGTTGCTATGAAACTTTTACCATTCCTGATAGAGCCTTTAAAGCTAAGTCAAAATACAGTTTTAAAGCTCACTGCGGTTACTCACGTCAGATATAAACCTTGTAATTTTTAAGCTCGTTTTCTCTGCTGGTGCAGTTTTATCCTAAATGTTCTGGCTTCGTTCACTCCAGCCCCAGTTCCACCAGCCCGAGTCCTCGTTACCTCGCACAGCGTTTGTCTGATTCATTTATTTGCACTTTTATATTGTCATTTTCTCGTCCATCCTTTGCTTTTCTTGTAACTGCCCGGGGTAAGAGAAGAACAGGCTTTTAACATTTTCCCTGTTTTATAAGAGGTGCAAGAAGCTGAGTTTTCCTTGGCAATTGGGTGCTAGAAGCGGCCTCGTGTGTCAGTGGTGTTTTCCTGCTCCAAACCGGAGCGGGGTGAAAGCTTCCACTTCCCTGCGAGGAAATTTGGGACTTTCAACCCCCGGGGCCGCAGCGAGCCGGGAGGAACTGGAGGTGGCCGAGCCTCGGGGGGGGCTCTGGAGCCCCCACCTCGAATCCCCCCGACCTCCAGAGCTATTTGTGTCGTCCCGCAGCCCCTCGGGTGCCTCGCTCCCCGCGTGCTGCTGCCAGCCCTAAAACGCGCTGTTTACCTTTCCCAAAAGATGCATTCAATAATACCGCCTCCCCCTTCCCCTCCCTCCCCCCCCCCCCGAGCCCCCCCCAAATCCTATCATCCCTTGCGGGCTGCGATAATAAATAAAAGTCTTTATTTCTCCCTGTGCCAAAGTTAAAGGGCCTCGCTCGCTGCCTGGGAAGTGAGTGTCGGGATGGTCGGGGCAGCCCCGGCCGGCGCTCGGAGCCGCCCCGCTCCATCCGAACCGAGCTTTTATTAAACGCCAGCACTGCCTCGTCTCTTATCTGTGCTCTCTCCGATGTGTGCCTGCAGTGGGGGATCCGGCCAAGGAAGCTCGTAACATGGCGGATGGCGAGGAAGGCTTCGGGCTGCCCAGCACGCCGGCCGATCCCGAGGCCAAGGAGCTGCAGGCCGAGGGCAAGCAGGACACGCAGCTGGGGGCCAGCAGCAAGCCGCCCACCTCGCCGCAAGCAGCCTTCACGCAGCAGGTGAGCACCCACGCCGCTCCCCGGGGCTGTGCCCTCGCTCAGTCCCCCTTTCCCCACGGCTCGCCCCCGCCCCAGCCGCCTGGGTGGGCGAGCGCTGCCCCCACGCCAGGGCAAAGCCTCACCTGGCCGTGGGGCTCGCCCTGCCGCCCTGGCGTTCCAGGCCGTGCTCGAGCGCCGAAGCTGCGGGGATGCGGCCGTGAGGGTTTTGGGGGTGTGGAGGAGCAGGAGGGGAGCAGGAGCCCAAAGCACAGCGAGGGGAGCAGCCCTGCAGCGGCACCCCCACACCCACCAGTGTCCGCGCCCGAGTGGAAAAATGCACGGGCGGGCACCCCGAGAGCCGTCATGCCTTTATATCCACCTTTATATCCCTATATAAATGTATGTATTGTGTACATATCCACATCTGTGCGGCCCTTGGACGCCCGGGCGGGCACAGCTGAGCCCCGCACCCCCAGCGGGCACTCAGCGCGGGCTGAGCCACCCCAGAGCGACACTCGGGGTGTCCCCGATGCCCTCCCTCAGCCCTCGCCCCCTGGCACTGCGTGTGCCGGGACACGCGTGGGCTCCGAGCCACCCCTCGGCCTCTCCTCGTGCTGCGGGCTCCCAGCTCTGGGAGGGAGGAATGCGGGGAAAGGAGATTTTCCACAGCTGGGGGGTGCCCCGGCAGGGACCCCCATGGACCCCGCTGCCCACGGGGGCGGCAGGAGGCTCGGCAGGGCCAGGGTGGGCACCGGGGCTGTTTGGAAAGCGACCCCCGAGGTTGGACGGGGCGTTTTTAGTGAGGGGGAGAAGCGCTTGGCTGGGCTGGGGGTGTCCCCCGTGCCCCCCAGCCCGGGTGGGGGGATGTGTTGTCCCCGCGGTGCCTCTGCCCCAAGCGCAGCTCTTGGGTGGGAAGAGAAAATCAGGGGGCGAGGGGAGCAGGGTGACACCCCACGCTCCAGCCTGTGAATCACCCGTGGGATGGTGCAAATCTGCTCTGCTGGGCTCTGGGGGCAGCCGGGGCATTTCCCTGGGAGGATGGGGCTGGAGCCGGCTCCGGGGGCTCCCTGCCCTCGCCCCCCGCCCCACGAGCCCCGCAGGACCCCGCTCCAGGCCTGCCCCAACAGCATCCCCAGCCTGGAAACCCCTCTGGCCGGGGTTATCCCGGGAATGGCCTGAACTCCGGCCCGCAGAGCCCGGCCCTTCCCCGGCGAGCTTCCCGGAGAGGCCGTGCGGGGCCCGGCTGCCCTGGCAGGGCTGTCCCCGCTCCCCTCGGGGCTGTCCCCGTCCCCTCGGGGCTGACGCTCTGTGCCTCCCCGCTCCGCAGGGCATGGAGGGCATCAAGGTGTTTTTGCACGAACGCGAGCTGTGGCTGAAGTTCCACGAGGTGGGCACGGAGATGATCATAACAAAGGCCGGGAGGTAAGAGCAGGGGGGCTCCGCGGTCCCCTCCGTGTTTTTGGGGTCGGGGGGACTCCGGGCACCTCCCTGGCACGGGGACGGTCGCAGCTCTCGTGTCCGAGCCCCCCGTGTGTGTGTGTGTGCCACTGGAGAGCCCTCCCTGCCTGGAGAGAGGCGGCAGGAATTGTTTCTTCTGGCTTCTTTCTCAACCAGAACAGTCGGGTCATTAATTCCGACTTCAGGCCTTTGGAAACTTTCCAGGCGAACGCGAGTTGCAACCACTTGGCCAAAAAGCAAACTTTGTTTAGAGCAGCTCGGTGGCCCACTATTATTATTATTATTATTATTGTTATTATTATTATTATTATTATTATTATTATTATTATTATTATTATTATTATTATTATTGGAGCAATTTGGCTCTTCTGCTCCCCCAAAGTTTCATGCCGTTTTACAGAGTTTTTTATTTATTTTTGCTCACTCTGGAGCGAATATTCCCACCTCAGCCACTTCACCCCTTTTAAAAGTCTAGGCGGTCTTAAGCTACTGTTTATAGAGAGATAACAAAGCTGTTTAGATGCAGAGATAGATGCGTCCGCAAATAAATATCATGTGGGTGTATTTCTACGCGGGTGTTTATCTGCGTGGGTGTGCGGAAAAATATGCAGCCTTGCAAATCCAACTTTATTGGGGTTCTAATCGGTTCCATGAGCGGCTGTGTAAACCTGATCCGCAGATATTTCTATGTGGACGCGGGTGTTTTTGAGGGGATTTAACATTTTTCTGGATATTAACGTGGTGGAGGGTTGTTAAATTGAAGAGTGGCCAGCGAGACGCAGTAAAAAAGTCTCTCCAGTCCTATCAACAAATTGGGGGCAGCCCCCGGGAGGATTTTTCGTTGTGATTTTTCAGTTAGAATCCTTGGAGAAAAAGGGGGAAAAGCCTCCACGTGTAGGAATAGTTTCAGATTGTAGGGACACAATCAACAAGGCAGAATGAAACTTTCATTTTGCTCTGTCAGCTGATGTTTGTTGTGGTCTTCCAAAATTTGCCTGAAGAGGGAGGGGGAAAATAAATTTCGAACGGGTTGGATAAAGTTTTAGAGAATAGATCTCGCCTTCCCCTTGAACCTCGCTGCTGCGAAAATGGATTTGAAAGGGGTTTGTGGCCAAGGGGACATGGGATGGAGTCGGTGATGGGATCTCCCGAAAAAATCGGGTTTACAGGGACCAAAAAAAAAAAAAAAATCCCACTCTGGAAGGGAGACAGAAACCACCTTGCAGAAATTTCAAACAAAAATCTCTGTGGACAGAGATCTCATCCGGAGAGCAATAAAAGAGACATTTACAGGCAGGGCTCGGGGGGAGACGCGGGCTGGGTTCCCTTATTTCTATCATTGCCCGTGGTTGCTGTTGAAGTCCCTGGTCCTGCTGCTCAGGTGCTTTCCGTGGAGTTACAGATCAACCTCCAGGTGAAATTTGGTTTCTTCTCCCTTAAAAAGTTTAAGTTCAACACCCGCTTCCTTCGTTGGGCGCTTTTCGTCCCCCTTCAGCTTTTTAGAACCGAATTAAAGCCCAGCCCAGGCAGCCATAGGATCCCGAGCCTCGCAGAAGAGCACGGTATTTTTACCGGTGTGGGACTTTTTCTTTTTGGATTTTTTTTTTGGTTGTTTATGTGTGTTTTAAGTCCAGGGCTCCATTTTCATCTGCTTTATTTTTAAATATTTGGAAAGCTCGAACTAAAATAACAGCAGTGGTTTAAGTGCCTGACTTGCAGTAATGGAAAATATTTCGAAAAGCCCCTGCCTTGTGTGTATGCGAGGGTTTCCAGGGATTTGTCAGGTGTGTTTGCTGCTGTCTCGGGGTGAGCGCACGGCTGGTCACGGATTTTCTCTCACACCTGAGTGCGTGCAGGTTTTTTGCTTCATATCTGTCCCTAGAACCTCAAGGTGTTCATATAAATGTATTTTAAAATGTTTTTATTTCTACATATGTAATATATGAGAACATATTTCTATAAATATATACATTTATAGAAAGACATATAAATATAATTTTTATAGGAGTATCTATATTATAACTTTTATTTTAAAACTATTTTTTGGCAAATTTCCTCTCCTGTTCCAGCGGTTTATGGAGGGAGGGAAGTAACTTGCTTCCAAAAGTTCTCACGCGCAGATTTGTTCAAAAAACGAACATTCAAAACTTTGGTGAAATAAATAATTAGTAAAAACACAAATAGACGAGCAGACACGCGAGGAGGTGAATAAACAAACCCGCCAGCCTCGAAATTCCGATTTTGTTTTGATAAATCACCCGGTCCGCCTCGGATGGGACCCAGCACCACCCAAACTTGCCCCACACGCCGGGGAAGATCCACCCGGGAACGTGGTTTAACCCTTTTGTTAAATGTTCCCCTCAAGATCTCCTCTCACACGCACACGAGACCACCTTGGCAAACTTTTTATTTATTTATTTATTTATTTATTCAACAGGCGAATGTTCCCCAGTTACAAAGTGAAGGTCACTGGACTCAATCCAAAGACGAAGTACATCCTGTTGATGGATATTGTCCCGGCGGATGACCACCGATACAAATTCGCGGATAATAAATGGTAGGCACGCGTGGGGGAGAGGCACGGGACCTCCGGGCTGCCCGGGGGGGAGAAATCCTTCAATCAGCGCCTCGTCCTTCTTTTTCCGTGCAAAATGTTGGGCTGCAGGAGCCTCACCTGGGCGTAATGGGGTGTTCCCACAGCCCCTGGGAGAGAAATGCATCCAAAAAAAGGGAAAAACCGCAGGAATTCTGTCGCAATTAACGAATCCTGTTTGACAATGAGATTATTTGCTGTTGTGGAGCTGATGGTTTAATTACACTAAGGAAGGAAATATCTCCGGGCAGGAAAATCTTTACGGATTGATTCTTTGCTCCGGGCCGTCAATTAGGGACAGGGGAAGGATGGGGTTAAACGGGCGAGCGGCGAGAGCCATCTCCGACGGGAAAGGTGCCAAAGAGCTCAGCAATTCCCGAGCCAGCCGTGCTGGAAATGCCTTTTCTCCCCGGCACTGGGTACCTGCCTGGGAGGGGACGGAGGGGCAGCCGGAACCCACGGGAGGAGCCCCGGGGAAGGGATGGAGGGGAGCGGGAACCCCAAGAGGGGATGGAGGGGAGCGGGAGCCCCAGGAGGGGATGGAGGGGAGCGAGAACCCCAAGAGGGGATGGAGGGGAGCGGGAGCCCCAGGAGGGGATGGACGGGGAGCGGGAACCCATGGGGAGACAGGGACGAGGAGCAGGAGCTCCAGGAAGGGACGGATGGGGAGCAGGAACCCCAGGACGGGACGGAAGGGAGCGGGAGCCCACGGGAGGGGATGGACGGGAGCAGGAGCTCCAAGAGAGGATGGATGGGGAGCAGGAGCCCAGGAAGGGACAGGTGGGGGAGCGGGAGCCCCAAGAGGGGATGGCGGCGGAGCAGAAGCCCACGGGAAGGGACGGAAGGGAGCAGGAACCCCAGGAGGGGTTGGATGGGAGCAGGAACCCCAGGAAGGGATGGAAGTGAGCAGGAGCCCACGGGGGGCTACGGCTGGGGAGCAGGAGCTCCAGGAAGGGATGGAAGGGAGCGGGAACCCCAAGACGGGATGGACGGGGAGCAGGAGCCTCCAGGAGGGGATAGCCCGCAGCAGGAGCCCACGGGAGGGGATGCACGGGGAGCAGCAGCCCTCGGGAGGCGATGGCCGGGAGCAGGAGCTCCAAGAGGGGACGGATGGGGAGCAGCAGCCCACGGGAGGGGATGGATGAGGAGCAGGAGCTCCAAGAGGGGATGGCCGGCAGAAGGAGCCCACGGGAGGGGATGGATGAGGAGCAGGAGCTCCAAGAGGGGACGGACGGCAGCAGGAACCCACGGGCCGTCCCCGGGCGGCCGCAGCTCAGCCCCGTGTCCCACGCAGGTCGGTGACAGGCAAGGCAGAGCCGGCCATGCCCGGCAGGCTGTACGTGCACCCCGATTCCCCCGCCACCGGAGCGCACTGGATGAGGCAGCTGGTTTCCTTCCAGAAGCTCAAACTCACCAACAACCACCTGGATCCCTTCGGACATGTAAGTACCGGGGCTGGGACAGGGGCATCGTGCTGTCCGGCACCCAGGGGTGTCCCCTGCCAGCGAGGGTGTGCCAGTGTCACCCACCCTCAAATCCAGGTGTTGTTTCACCCCTGAGAGAGCGGGATGAACCCCCAAAAAATATAGAAACATTGATGACAGACTCCCAGGGCCTGGAGTTGGCGAGTGGGTGAAACTCTCCTGGCTTGGCTGAGTATTTGGTCACCCTGATTTTAATCGCATGGCGAGTCCCCAATCGTTAAAATCCGCCCGCTGCCTCCGGGAATTTGCCTAACAGGTAAAATCAATCAGGCATAATTAGAGGAGGAAATAGGACCTAAAACGATGTGGATCCCTCGATCAGAAAAAAAAAAAAAAAAAGCAAAGAAAAAAAAGAAAAGAAAAAGGAAAAGTAACAATAATTAAAGACAATTAGAGAAATTGAAGTCCCGCTAGAACTTCTTGGGCATTAAAAAAGTTTTTGCGAGACTCGTGGGGCCGTGAAAATTTGTGTGAATTCTGCAGCCAGGAACAGCCCTCCTTCGAAGGTCTCCAAAGATGCGAGTTCCTCTGAGCAAATATATACATGCGTGTAAGAATAATAATAATAAAAAAATGTACATATATATATAAAATATATAATTGAACGAATATGTGACTCCAGATCCCGCCAGCCCTTTCCAAGAGTGGATTTTTCTCCAGTCTCGTTTCAACACTTCAATTTTATTTTTTCCAAGCTGTTTTTTTTTTCTTCGCTTTCTAATGATAAATTTTGTGCTATTAAATCCTCGCCCACGTGGTAGCCAAGAAGTGAGAGGGCTTTAGGGGAGAGGAGGCAGCAGAGTCCCCAGCCCACCCCAATGCTCAGCATCATTTACAAGCTCTCCTTTGCGCCTCCGTTTGCGGGGGTTGATTTCTTTTTTATTTTTATAATTCGAATTTTATTTTAATTCTAATCGAGCTGGTGCAGAAGGGGTTGGCGAGGGCTGCTTCCCAGGGATCAGGACCTTTCCTGCGGGAAGAGGGAGGGGAGCAGCGCAGCCGGGAGACCCCATCCCACCCCCGGGGTGCTTTTGGGGATAAGGGGGGGATCCGGCCCGGGGGGAAGGGGCCAGGCATCCCTGCTGGGAACAGGCGGCTCTGGGGAAAAAGTCCCTCCAAACAAACCCAAGACGCTGAGGGGACAATAAGGGACTTCAGAGGAGGAGCTGCGCCAGGAGCCTCTCAATTAGAGTCGCTGTAATGAAATTAAAAACCATTAGATCGTTCACCGTTGATGTCTACGACTTTCCTGGATGTCAAAGCAATTTGCTTAAACCCCCGGGACGGGGGAGGCGGCGGCGGGACGCGCTGCGTCTCGCTGTCGCCAGGGTCCGGCAGTCATTATCGGGCCCGAGCGGCCCCCCGCCGCCCCCCATCCTCCCCCGGGATTAACCCGGTACCGAGCAGGGCCCGCTTTTTATCTGGAGCACCGCGACAGCCCCTCCCGGCTCCGCCACCGTCCCCTGCGGGTGGCTGGCGGGGGGGATGTCCCTAAAGCCCCAAATCCCCCCAGCTCTCTTCCTTTTCTTCACTCTGTACCCCCTGCGATGGGATGGGGGTGTTGAGACCCCCCATTTGCCCCCATCGCGTGTTGGGGGAGCAGCTCTGGCCCTTCAGGGGTTTGTGTGGACGGAGCAGGGCTGGGGAGGGGGGAGCAGGTGAGGGAGCGCCTTTGACAGCACCGCTGGGCTCCCGGGCGAGTTTCTGGAGTGATCAGTGCCCCACCCCAGCACCTCCATCTGCCCCTCCAAGGGGCTCCTGAAAAGGGCACACATTTTGGGGAAGGGGCTGCGGGTTCCTGCTGGTGCGTGTCCTTTTCCTCCCGTGGGAAGGGGGCGATGCGCCGTGCTGTGCCCCCTCCATTCCCACGGGATGTTCTCTCCTTCTCCCCTGCCCAGATCATCCTGAACTCCATGCACAAATACCAGCCCCGGCTCCATATCGTGAAAGCGGACGAGAACAACGGCTTCGGCTCCAAGAACACCGCCTTCTGCACCCACGTCTTCCCGGAGACCGCCTTCATCGCCGTCACCTCCTACCAAAACCACAAGGTGAGGGGCTGGGCCCCCACCCCGCAAACCGCACCCGCTCCTCGCCCCTTCCCGCTGCTCTTCCTGAGAGGCTCAGCCCCTCTTCCCTCCCTACTTCTTCTTTCAGCCCTTCTTTTTCTTTCCACTCCTTCTTTCCTTCTCCTTTTTCTTGCCTTCCCTCTCCTTTCCCCTTCTCTATTTCCTTTCCCCCTTCTTTTTCTTCTCTTTGTCTCCTTCCTTACATTTTCCTTTTCCCCTTGTCCTTTCTTCTTCTCCTCTCCCCTCCCTGTACTTTTCCTTTCCTTCCCTCTCCTTTCCCCCTCCTTTTTCCCCTCCCTTCCTCTTCTCCACTTCCTTTTCCCCCTTATTTTCCTTCTCTTTGTCTCCTTCCTTTTCTTGTGCTCTTCCCCTTATCCTTTCTTCTCCTCTCCCCTCCCTGTCCTTTTCCTTTCCTTCCTTCTTTCTCTTCTCCTTTCTTTGCTCTCCTTGTTTCCTTCTTTTTCCTCTCCTTGTCCTCTCTCCTTGTCCTTTCCTCTCCCTTGCCCGTTTTCCTCCTCCCCTCCCTTCCCCTTTCCTCTCTCCCATCCCCATCCCATCCCCTCTGTTATTCCTGGCCGCACAAAGCATCCAACGCCGGGCTCGGGGCGAGCCGGGGAGGGGGAATGAGCTCACCAGGATGCTTTGCTCACATGGAGACGACCAACCGAGGAAGTTTGCTTTATCTTCCCCCTCGCCGTGGGTCAAAGGCTCCTAATCTGGAGGAGGGAGCCGGGCGCTCCCCTCCGCGGCCGGGCGCTGATAACCCGGCTGCCCACGGGGGGCTGCGGGCTTGGCAGCCCGGAGGCCCGGCCAGGAAAGGGAGGCTCAGCTCCCGGGATCAGGCAAACAAAGCACGAAAATATCGGGATGGGTTTGTCTTCTGCTGGAGTAGAAAAGGGTGGGGTGGAATAAGGGTTTTCTTGGTGCTGTCGTTGCCCCTCTGTGAGGAGCCCGCTGCTCCCGCGCCTTCCCTGCTTGGGTTTGGGCTTCCCCACCCAGCAGGGAGGAGGAGGAGGAGGAAGGCTGAGTGTTGAAGGCAGGGTGGTTCTCCACAGCGATGTCTTTCACCAACTGTCCCCTGCCACAGCCCCATGAAAACTCAATTTCTTTCAGCAAAAAAGCAAATTCCTCTCCTAATCACATAAAAAGCACTCGCTGTAAACCTGTGCTTACAGGCAGGTAGGATCGATCCTTTGTACCCGATAGAATAATTGTTTCTAAAAGAGAAAAGTGATTTAGCACCCCAAAAAAAAGTCCTGGATGCTTTCCTGGAAATGCAGGTTCCTAAACCTGTGTGAAATTATTGCATTTCCTCCATCCAGCAGCTGACCAGCAAGATGCAGAGAGCAGAGCTGGGCTGGAGAAGAAAGAGTGTTCCACCATAACTAGGGAGAAAGGAAAATACTTCCCTGCCCTTTAAAATAGGAGCTGCTGGCACGGCTGGGACAAGCAAACCGAATCCAAATTGAGTCCTTGCCAAATTATGCCTTAAATTATAACTCCACTGTGGATGCTATAAAATCAAGTTTAACTTCTGCTTGATGGATTTGCAGAAAGAATATAATATTAATAGAAGTGGGAGTTAATAAAACAGGACACACTGCCTGCTTTAAAGGCATTTCCCGAGCAGAAAACAGACGTGAATGGAACTGCTCTCCTTTGAAGAAAAACGGGGCTGGTTTATAGGAAAAGAAATGATCATGCAAATAAAACGAAAGCAAAGCAGGAACATGTAAGTACAGTAGTTTGGGAAAACTGCCATGCTAGGAGGAGCAGGAATATTTGATTGTAAATCAGCAACATCTGTGTGATAAGAAATGACATCTGCGTATCTGACACAGGCAGGAATCCCCACAGACACACCAGGACACATTTTACACACCCCTGACACGTTTTACAGGCTCTGACATCCCTCTGCCCCCTGACACACACATTCCTCCCCGTGCTGCTTGCAGTCAGGGGGGGAACAGGGGAAGAGTGGCTGTAGCCCCAAGATAAAATCCCAATTGGAAAAGATTGAGCCATAAAAATAAACCAGGGATGATCTTCCCTGAATGGCATCTACCTGCAGGGAAGGGAATAAAAGCTGTAGCTCACCCCAGTGCAGACAGGGAATGATATTGGGGTTGATGCAAATGCCAGGGAGAAACTTCCTCCAGCTGAGGTGGCTGAAACTGGGTTGGGGTCTTTTCCACCAGCTGAAACCTGAGCTCAGCTTTCACAGCTGAGAGGTTGCTTGGAAAACCAGATTTTGCTCTTGTAGCACAGGCTGCGTTTCCCCCAGCCACAAAGGATAGCAGCCCCCACATGTGGGGCATCCCCAGCTCTTGCTGTTGGTGCACTGCTGATTTTTTTCCCATTTTCCTCTCTCACCTTCACCCCTCACCTGTAGCTCTTCCCTCATGCAGTCTATCCCAACCATATTTTACACAGAGTTTTAAAAGTGTGTGTATTTTACGCACACACAAATTCATCCCTGCATGGGGTTTATGTTTCAAGAGCTCTGTTCGAGCTGAATTCTCTTACAGAATGAATTGTGTGACCCACCCCAAAATGCATTTGAGTCCATGCTTCCACAGCTTATAGAAATACCTGCCTGCTTCCAGATAGGCCAATTTATTTCAAGAGCACAGCTGCAATCCCAATGCAGGGCTTGTGCTTATTTCCCCTGATATTTTAGACAGCCTGAAAAGATATTTAAGCACCCTGGGAGCTCCCTTTCCTCAGCCCTACTCCCCAAAAAGAGGCTTAAGCTATGAAGAGAGTTTTGGTGAAGTTCTCAGGGTGGTTGTCAGCAGCTCCATTGGTCACCTCCCCCCTCTCTGCTACCCTGAAAAACACCCCAGAAATATCGAGGTGTTAAAAAAGGTCACATGCACATTTCATTTCCTTGCCATTTACACAATGGGTGCTTGCAATCAGGTTGATTCCCAGATATTAACTTTCCCTGCAGTTAAGCACCATTTTGCTGTAGCTTAAATCATTGTGTTACTGGCTCGTATTTATTAGGTATGAGCTCTCTGCTTAGGACCAGGAAATGAACCTAATAGACAGAAATAATTAAGGTGCTGCCCTCACGAGGGTTCTTTCAAAAGCAAGAATTCACAACAATTATTCTCATTAATTTTTACAACCTACTTTTCCCCCTTAGCTGGACTTGGGCTTTATATTTGTTCCCCCCCCCAGGATATCCGGTTTTATGCAGATTTTTTCCCTCCACCCTAAGTTATTTAACATTCTTGGTAGCCAAAATTCTTTTAAGGAAACGTTAGCCCCAGCTGGGACGTTCCAGGCACCCAGAAATGCTGTGTGCACCAGGCAGGAGCAAAGCAGGGCATGGCCAAAGTCTGGATTCACTGCCAGATACCTGCTGGGATTTCTGAATAGAGAGGTTCATCCTTCCCCTAAAAAGACCCAGTGCTAAAATCATGCTGGTGAGTCACTGCTGCTCCATTCTGGGGGTTCTGGAGAGCTGCCTGTCCCCTCTGAGCATGTGGCTTCTTGTCACGGTCTTTAAGGGCTGGAGGTGGGCAGGTCCTTGGGGGTGGGGTGATTTCTCCTGAGAGCTCCATTTTCCCTGTCTTAGGTTGCAGGTGGCCACCTCCACCACTGCAGCAGAGGCCACCCTGCCCTGCCTGGGGTCATTGTCCCTGTGTTGGCAAGAGGGGACAGCCCCTCTCCTCACCCAGGGCAGACTCCTCTCCAAAGAGGGGTCCCCCAAGTGCTGGCAGAGGCAGAGCTCCCTGGGGCTAAGCAAGGTGAGACAAGCAGCTCCTCTTCATCACCAGACCTGGTGGCTTCTGTGCAGGGGCACCTGAGGATGGCAGGGCTCTGCTGCTCTCTCCCTGACCCTCTCTGGGGCTCCTCATGATCCTTACTGCTGGTCCAGCCTTGGTGGGACAGTGCTTCCTTCCAGGAGTCTTGTGCCCTTCACAACTCTGGCTGAACCAACCTTGTCTCCTTCTGTCCCCAGACTTGTCCCTGCTCCCTGCCAGCCCTGGGGTGGGGTGCTCAGCCAGCCCCGAGCCCCTGGACTCTTTTGGTCCCCCAAGCAGCCCCTCTCCTCAAGCTTGGCCAAGAGTCCCTCTGGATCTGGCATCCATCCTGCCTGCAGCCTCATCTCCTTCCCCCAAAACTCCGTGGTCTCTCTTCCCATCCTTGGCCCTTGTGTCCCAGTTCAGGCAGCAGCCTCCTCACTGAGCCTCTCTGTGTCACCCCAGTCCCTCCCATTCCCTTCCCTGCCTTTGGGTTCAGCATCTTCTCCCCTCTGCCAGCAGCTCCCCCCATCCTTCTCCTGGCCTTTACCTGGGGCTCCAAGTCCCAGCTCCCCACCCAGCCCCTCTGCTTGGCCAGACCTCCCTGGGCTCAGCAGCCACCTCCTCTGCATCTGTTTCTCTCCTTCCCCCTCCTCTGGTCTGGCTTCCTCCTCCATCCTGCCCTGGTTCCCAGCTGGGCTATGTGGGAGCCAGGCAGAAGAAGTCTCTGTGCTCTCCAGCCCCGGGGGAGCCTCCCGTGGCTCCCACACTGCCAGCTCCAGCTGTGGCACAGCTGCTCCAGGCCCCTCTCTGCCACCCTGAGCAGGGCCACAGGCACCTGCAGGCCAGGGAGAAATGGATCCCCATGGAGAGGGGAGGTCCATGAGTGCTCTGCACTCTCAAGGGTGATCACCTGCACCTCTTCATCACTAAATGGTGATTTTTTTCCCCCTCCTACAATCAGTTTTAAGTTCTCCAAGTAGACCTGAGTGAGAATTCAGAAATTAAGGATTCACGTTCCTTGCAGAACATTCCTTTTCCAGAATGCCCAACCTTTAGCTGCTCCAGGTCCCTCTCTGCCACCCTGAGCAGGGCCACAGGGAGAAATGGATCCCCATGGAGAGGGGAGGTCCATGAGTGCTCTGCACTCTCTAGGGTGAGCACCTGCACCTCTTCATCACTAAATGGTGATTTTTTTCCCCCTCCTACAATCAGTTTTAAGTTCTCCAAGTAGACCTGAGTGAGAATTCAGAAATTAAGGATTTACATTCCTTGCAGAACATTCCTTTCCAGAATGTCCAACCTTCATTAGTTTCAGAGGAGCCCAAAAAGATCAGGGTGTAGGATTTTCCCTTAGCTTAAGTGTTTTTTAAAAAAAAATTGATAGAAAAATATGTAAATAAAATAGACCCCAGAGTGCCTGGTTAGGGAGTGCTCCCCCCTAAAGAAATTCTTAACTTTGTTACAACTTCTAAAGTGAGAAACAATTGAGAAAAATCTTACCACAGCAAGTTCTTGATAAAAAATACTATAAAATGGTAGTACTGATTTTGGCCATAATGCTATTCATGAGCCCTTAGGCACAAATCCCATATAAATACATGTCTGTGGAAAAGGAAAAAGAAGTAAAGCATCTTTCCTCGACCTAAGTCAATGCAAAGCTAAATTTTGTCATGCTGGAGCTAAGGATGCTGTTGGAAGGTCTCAGCAGAAGAGCTTTGTGGCCAATTAGCCCAGAGAAAGGAGAGCAGGGGAGCAGCCCAGGGATTCCTTTGGGATTCCCAATTCCATTGGGAACTGTCACTTCCCATTAAAGTGAAGATGAACCCATAGGTCAGAGAAGCCCTGAAAAGTGGAAATCTGGGAGGCTTCACCCTGCAGGGCTCTGCTCTCCAAGGGTCTGTGGCAGCCTCAGAGCCAGTGAAGCTTTGCCGTCAGTAACAAACACACAAACAAAGCCCTTCAGTTTTATTGAACCTGTGCTGTACAATTCAGCCCTGGGCACTCTGTCTTAATGACCTCGCAGGACGTTGTATTTTGTTTTATTTTTCATGAGGTAATTGTCATTTGACTTTCTGACAGCTTTTCTCACCCCCCTGCTCCCCCCGACCCGTGAGTTATAGTCAATTAAACTCAGTTTTGCTGTGGCAAAGCTGATCCAGGTTATTTCCACCCCTGCGTTTGCTTTTCCACCTCTGGAATAGTTTGGAAGTCAGGCAAAAAGAAGTGGCCAAATGAAATATCTTCCACAGGTTGTTTGCTAAAGCAGGGATCCACCAGCTTTTTCTCTGTTTTCTAGTTTGTTGTGTACAGTTTTGTTAAATCTGGCTTGGGCTCTCCTGGCTTTGTTGTGGTTGATGCCATGAGGTATCACCTGGGGAAACTTTGTTCTGGGAGCTCCAATCCATCTGAAGGACACCAAAGGTCTGAGAATTAATTCTAAACCTGTAGTCCCTGGTTTTCAGATGCCTTCAATCCAGCAGATCCTTAATTTTAAGGAGGCTGAAGTTGGCTCTGATTCTCTTGGGGCTCTTGGCCACCAGCACCAACACCTTTGCTTGTAAGTGTGTTCCTCGTGTGGGTTAGGGGACTTCTCTGAACCACCAGATCTGCAATATTGAGGTCCCTTTTTTGATATTTTAGCTGCTATTTCGTGGATCATTAAAAGCTTGAAGAATCAAACAGGGCATTCAACCGAGGGGCTTAAATGAGGGGCTGGAGCACTGCTGGCTCCTCCTCCAGTGACCAGAGTGCACTGGGGACCTGTGAAGGCACTGCCACCCAGCCCAGAGCCCTCTGGCAGTCCCCGTGTCCCTCCCTTGATTCCAGCAGGGAGCTGAGGCTCCCAGTGCAGGCGCCTTGGTTAAAATGCCTTCGGTCAGGTTGGGATGAATCCGGCCCTTTGTGCCTTTGTGTGCTGGTGCCAATCCTGTAAATCCTCACTCACTGAAGGACTTCACTTATGTGAGCAAATATTGCCATTGGGGTCGGCAAGGGAGGACAACTCCTACATTTACAGGGCTTCAGGAACATTCAAAATGTTGAATAATGCCTATTATTCATTCTAGAAGAGTCACCACCTTCAAACCGATAGGCAGTTGTTTTGCAAAATACACAGCTGGTTGTGTAATAATTCAGGGCTTTTAATTACAAAATGCACCTCTGTTTTATTGCTAGAGAATGGCTCAACTGGCAAATTGACCCCAAAAGATTGTTTGTTTACCCTTCTCTTTGAAATCTGAAATGAGGGACAAAAAAAAAAAAGAGTGCCAAAAGTGCCAAGGGCTTGTTTGTGTGCTGAAGTATGGTCCTGATTTACTGGGAATGCCTGTGGAGATAAGTGTAAGTGTGGTGGGGGGCTCAGTGAGAAGTTTGGGGCTGAATGAGGCAAAAATGGCACATAAACAAGCGGCCCTTGGAAAAAAAAATGCAAAAAAGACAAGAAAAGAGCAAAATAATCTGGTTGTGCATACACCTGGCGAGGTTTGCTATTGACACTGGGCGAGCCAGATTTTTCCTCTTTGGATTTTGGCAGGGAGGTGGGCCTGGTTGTTTGTGCTTGACTCGGTGAACATGAACCTCTCTCTGTTCTCCCTCCGTTGATCCTGAGCTCTTTCCTTCCCCTTGGCCAGCTCTCAGTAGGAAGGAAGGACGGGATTTCCATAAAACGTGGTGAGAGAGTGAAGCTCCTCCAGTGGCAAACACGGGGCTGTCTTTCTTCCTGGGCAAGTGTCTCTCCTGATTCCCTGCTGAGAGCTCACACTGCCAGGCAGTGATGGAGAAAAGAGGGGAAAAAAGGGAACTTTCCCCCTTCTGCCCAAATTTTGGGGCTTTGCAGCAATATCACACCTGGTCCAGGCTCAGTCCTCTTCTGCCAAGGCACCAAAGCATTTGCATCACATTTGGCACAGCAGAGGGAGTTTTTACAAAATCCACAGGGCAGCTGAGGGTGTTGCTGATCCACAATGAATATTGGCTTAAATGACAAGCCCTGCTCACCAAAACCCTCAGGAAAAGTAGTGCAGGAGGGGATTGAACCTCTTGGAGCAGCGCAGTCCCTTTGGGTAAGGGCATGGTCTGTCTAGAAGCTGTTTTAAATGTTAAATTTAGATGTTTTAAGAGGACCAAAGTTGAGTTTGAGGCGATTCATCTGGCTAAACTTTAGACTCAAAAGGTAGCTTACTTAGTGAGCAAACTGGAAGTGATGGGGAGATAAAAAATCCTTCAGGGTTTGATGGTCACAGGTGAAGTTGCCCTCGAAGTAATTTAGGTAATGAGTCCATGCAGTGCTGCCAGCTGGGGGGCAGGATGGCAGATGCAGAGCACCTGGAGCACATTTAGCTGGTCTGAAACAGCCTAAAGATGAGATTCGCTGGGCTGGGAGAGAGGGTGCAGGGTCTGAGAGGTGAGGCTTTGGTCTTGCCTGTGCACTGGTGAAAAATACTTGGGATTTGTTGAGACCCATCCCTGGTTCTCTGAGCAGTGAAGGCCTTTCAGTCCCAACAGCAAAATGAAAGTAAGAACTCTCAGAAAGCAGATTTTCTCCAGAGAAAAATGTGTGTGAGCAGTCCCACATGTTAGCTACGGGACAAGCCTGGGAGAAGCGAGAGCCTGTTGACAGGAGATATTTTTCCTGTGGAGCATTCCAGGGAAAGACCCATCTGGAGTGGTCAGTGCCTGAGCTGAGGGATGGCTGCAGTTCCTGCAAGCTGCATGTTCCCTCCCATCCCTGCCTTGGGTTTAATAACCACTGCCCCTCTGTCCAGGCCATGCCTTGGACTGGCCATGACCCTGCTGTGTTTCATCCCTTTCAGATCACCCAGCTGAAGATTGAGAACAACCCCTTTGCCAAAGGCTTCCGTGGCAGCGACGACATGGAGCTCCACAGGATGTCCAGGATGCAGAGGTAACGTGTGCCACCCTCATGGGGACCCTGCTGGACCCAGAGCCTTGCTTGGCACGTCCCTCGTGGCCTGGCCTCCAGGACATGGTGCCACTCCCTGCCTTGGCATCTGCATGGCTGTTCTGCATCAGGTTTTGAAATATTCCCAGGACGTGGGGCCAAAATCCTGGACCCTCTGCTCCCAGGGGAATTCCTTAATTGCTGGGGGGCAGAGGCAGGACCTCACTTGTGGGATGCTGTCTTGGCCACAGGGACTTTGCAATTCTTTCAGACACGTCCCCATCCAGAGTAGCCTTTGGCTTTGTGCTAAACTCTCCTCTCTGAGGCTGCACGTGCACTTAGACCCACTAAAAACTTGGAGCAGATGGGAGAAGCTCTGGCCACCAGGCTACTGTGGAAGAGCTCCTGAGTGTTCCTTTCTCCCAGTGTTTTAAAGACAAAGCTCCCAGCCTTGTTTTGGGAGTAGGGTTTTTAATCTTGCTCCAGCTGCCTGTGGAGGTGGTGGTGGAGAGTCCTGTGTTCTGTTGTTACTGGCTTTGGAGGGGCTTTGGCAGGAGGAGAGTGTTTGCCTGCTTGGTTCTGGATGTGCAGAGCAGGAACAGAGGTGTGGTGGTTTCAGGTTGAAGAAGGAAAGGTTAGAAAATGTTGGGATCTCCAGGCCCAGGTGGCTGAGGAGACCTTTTCAAATCTCGGGTTTGGCTGCAAGTACTTAAGCTGAAAAGCAAGCCTAAGTCTTGTTTGAAAATCCTGTTTAATGTCCTTTTCTAAATGTCAGGCCCTGCTGGTAATTAACTTCGTGCTTTTCCCTTCACTTGGAACTTTCTCCATGTGTCAAGCTGCTTCCTGGTGCAAATGTTTTGCAGGAATGGTGCCATACCCAGGATCGTAACTAAGACAGATGGAGATTCTCAACAGAGTGTTTTCCAGGAGGGCAGGAGCCACTCAGATCCTTTATTCTCTGGCTCCTGCTGGAGGGACCTGCTTTGGGACCTTCTGATGGGAGGGTTTTTCCCACTGCCCACCCAGGAGCCAGCTGTAGGTGGTCACTTCTGGTTGTTGTAGTTGATGATGTGAGCGTGGCTCTCCATAGAAAGGAAAATTGTGCTGTCAGGCACCAAATAATTCCTTCAAACCTGCAAACATGCCTGGAACTCACCCAAACTGGGCAAATGTCCTCCTGTGTACAAACATGTTCAGACTCAGCCCCAGAAAAGCCAAGATAGATGTATAAAAAAGGTATAGGCAACACTTAATCTGCTCCATCAAAATCATCTCCGTGGGCTCCTGAATGTGCCCTGTGTTCCCTGCCTGCCCTTTCCAACAGATCCTGGCAGGATCTGTCAATATTTATTTATTTATGGTGGCACTACCCCTTGAAATAGCTCCCCCCACCTCGTGCCAGTCGCCCAGCTTCTCCTGGAACTTGAGTGATGATGTGTTCTCCCCCGCAGCCAATATTTTTTTCTGCTGCCAAACCACCCTTTCATTGCAGTCACTGGAAAGATTTGAAGGTTTGGATTCACGGGGGGGTTTTTTTGGAGCAGGAGGGAGGAGGTGGAACAGGGAGGGCTCTTAGGAAGAGCTCGGTGCCATGTGAAGAGCATGGCATCAAGCCACGCTGAGCCCGTGCTAAAAATTGATTGGCATTTTTATGCAGGGGCTGCGGTTGATGATCCAGGGAACAGAAACACTTGGAATATATAAATACACCCACTCAGGCCTGGCAGGGCTGGAAGGGTTAAAATCTTTGCCTTTACTGGATAATTTCTGATGTTCATTTTAATAACTTAGCAGAGGAATGGCTGTGTGCCTTTACAAAGGTGGCATTTTTTTTAAGGGAGGGCAGGATAAGATGATTATAGTAAAATAAAGACCCATTCAAGGTTGCAAATATGTGCCCACCTTTGTGGGTTTTTTATGTAGATATATGAATATATTCAAAATTATATATGAAAATATATAAAATCAGTTATGTATATAAATAAATTGTAGCTATAAAAAATAGGTTGTGTCTATGAGATAAAGAACCATTCAGGACTGAGAATGTTGCAGAACTATGCCCTGCCTTTTGTGGGTTTATATAGAGTTAACATATAAATATATATTAAAATGTAATTAAATTTATATGTTATATATTTTAATATACAAATGTATGTTTATGAGGTTGTTTCCCAGTGATGGACCAGTCAGTCTGTCCTGGTTTTAGGGGAATGATGTCCATTTGTGCCCTTGGAGAATATGGTGGGATGCATTTTTAGTGCTATTCCTTCATTATGAAAAAGTAGCTGGAAAACCCCACATTTTATAACAGTGCAGAGCCTTTTGTACCAGAAACTTCTGACCTGACATTTATTCACCATGGCCTTGAGTCCATCCCTCTCCATGGCTTTCTCCTTTCCAGGGCCTCCCATATTGGTTTTATTTCCTCTTATTTCCCAGAAAGATGTTAACAAGTCTGTCCAGGCAGAACTTCATTCAGGAGTGGTGTGAAGACTTTCAGCAGGAGAGGATTTCATTGAAAAAGAGGAGATACGAGCTCAAGAGATCCAAATTCCAGTGAATGTTCATTTTCTTCCCACTATCTTTCTTTCCTGAAGCACAGGAGGTGCCTTCAGCAGCTTCTTTGGTAGGATGGACCCTCTGGGAAGAGGAGGTTTTTCAAAGCTTTCAAGTTTCTGAACATGAGGTTGAGCTTTTTTATTTTATTGATTAGAGAAAACCACCCCAAACATTAAAAAGGAAGGAGAATGCATAGAGGGATGTGAGTTTTACTACATGTCTGGGTCTGGAACACTGTGGGGGGGCAATTCTGGCCAACCCTGGCTGCTCATCTGCAGCTCCCATTGTTTGTGGTGGTTCTTATGGGGCCTGAGGAGCTTCTGGTAGTCTGGAAGGCCCTGGTTATTTTGTAATTTAATTAATTTTGTAAACTGATGCAGTTCAGCCCTTGAAGCTTCTGTTGGGAAGGTTTTAAGGTGCATGATGATGCCATGAAATGGTGGCTCTTGGCTCCTTCAATGGGTACTCTGAGCCCTTGAAAAGTGACAAAAAAATCCAGATTGCTCCATGTGACAGGGAAGAGTGACAGCGTGCTCTGACGTTGTGACTGTGCTCTCTCTGTCAAGGATCACGAGCCAGTTTGCTGCCTTTGGCATTAATCCACAGCAATCTGCTTGGCTCCAAAGGAATTATTCCAAAGATTCCCATGTGTCATCGAGAGCAGAAACAGGGCCAGGCACCGAGGACACAAAATTAGCTCCACGTCAGAGCCAGCGTGACAGAGATGACAGTGCATTTTGGGGTGCCAGCAGAAGAAATGGATGAGCTCTGGTGTTGCCTGGCATTCCAACATCCTGTTGGGCTGATGGGCACCAGGCTGACTCAAGCATATCAGTCTTGTTCTGCTGCAAACCACCTCGTTCTTCTTGTGTCTTCTCACTGCATCTTTAATCAACTCCCATTTCCCAGGTTCTGTCACTGAAATCTCCCAGGGGTCACCCTCTGTCTGTAATGTTTTCAGTGTGAGACTTGGCATTATAACCTCTGCTGGGGAGGGGATGCTTTCCTCCAGCACACATCCCCCTGGAAATATTCCTGGTCCTGGCTGAAATGTGTTCTGTAGAATTTGACAGAATTCAGATGAAATCCAAAAGGAAGCTGGGCAGATCTCACTTATTCACAGCTTTTTTGAAGTGAGAAAGCCACTCAAGAAGCACAGGGTAGCTGCAGTTTCTGTCACTGACCTTCCTCTGGGGATTTGGGTTTGATCAGCAGAAGCTCAGCCCAGCACAAAGGGATGAGGTGCTGCCTCTGGACAACATCCATTCTCCAGCTCCTCTTGTGCTCCTCTTAGTCCAACATCTTTTTCTGGAGAAATTTATCTTTTTATTTGCCTGCTAATGAGAGCTCTTGGTCTCCACCTGGTTCTTTTCATTGCTGGTTCTTGGGTTGGTTGCAGTGATGGCTTTGGGCTGCACTGCTTAGAGGAGTTGCTAACAGACTGCAGGGTCATCATGGAATGGTTTGGGTTGAAGGCATCTTAAAGATCATCTCATCTCACCCCCTGCCATGTGTAGGGACACCTTGCACATCCCAGGTGCTTCAAGCCCTGTCCAGCCTGGCCTTGGACACTGCCAGGGATCCAGGGGCAGCCACAGCTGCTCTGGGCACCCTGTGCCAGGGCCTCCCCACCCTCACAGGGGTGGGTTTTTTTCAAATATCCCATCTAAACCTATTCCATCATTGTGAAGCCATTTCCCCTTTTTCTGTCACTCCAGGGCCTTGTAAACAATCTCTCTCCAACTCTCTTATAGGTCACCCTGGAGCCTTCTCTTTTCCAGAGACAAATTCCAATCCCAGTTCTGCCAGCCTTTCCTCCCAGCAGAGCAGCTCCATCCCTCTGCCCATCCTTGTGCCTCCTCTGGGCTCTCTCCAGCAGCTCCAGGTCCTCCCTGTGCTGGGCCTGGGGCTGGGGCAGCTCTGCAGGTGTGGTCTCACCTGAGTGGAGCAGAGAAAGCCTCCCTTGCCCTCCTGCCCACGATGCTGGGGAGGCAGTCCATGACCTGGGAGGTTTTTCGGGTGCTGGGGCATGTCCAGCTCTCCCCCACCAGCACCCCCAATCCCCTCTCCCCAGGGCTGCTCCATCATTTCATCCCCAGCCTGGACTGATCCCCGCACAGCACCAGCACTTGTCCTTGTTCAGCTGCCTGACATTCCCCAAGGATCTCGGAGCCCCTCAGGTCCTGGCAGGAACGTCAGGACATTTGCTGTGTTGGCGGAGAATGGGGCACTGAACAGACTCCAGTATTCCTCAGTGCACATTTTGGTTTGTGCTGCTGCACATCCAGTCTCGAGAGTTATTCCCTGTGGGCTGCTCTGCAGTCCCCATGCAGAGAGGGGTCGTGGTTAATCAGAGGCTGAGACTGCAGGAAGTCCTTGGTAATTCCTCTCCGACCACGTCCTTTCCTGCTGTAGCTTATCCACTTCCAGACAGCCTCTTGAGAGTGCTTCAATTTTATTTCAATATGCTGGAAATCAGCTGAAATGAATGCACACTGACAACTGGGTTTGGTTTGATTTTTTTTTTTCCTGGGGGGGAGATGATCTGTTTATTCCAGGCACTTTTCTCCCTTTCTTCCTTTTGCTGTGTCTGTCATGGCTGACTTCCACTTCTTCCCTCCTCTTGAGCCTCAGCAGGAAGGACAACAATTGGTGGCCTGGGAACTATAAACCCCAAAGCCATTGAGTTGTGTTTGCACATCTGGAATTGGGGCTTGATTCTGTGCTGGGTAGAGGGGACAGCACTGATGGGGTGACAAATATTTGTCCTTTTGTTGGGACTGCCCAAGGAGGAGTTAAAATCCCCTGAAAATTTGGAAAGAGTGGAGTGGAATCCCTGTGTTCATCCTTGGGTCAGGTTTTAGACTAAGATTTGATATTGTGAACAAGATTTAGACAGTTCAGGGATTTCCAAGGCTGCTGTAAAAACATGGAAAGGAAATCCTTTCCCATGTCATGCTTCACCTTGACCTCCCGCAGATCCTGGGGATCTGATATTATTTAATAAGTCTTTTGAAGCCTTGCTGCCATGAGCTACAGCAGCTCTGGAAAGTCTTGAGCTGTCCAATATTTTGTTGCATAAATATCAGGAACATCTTTTAAAATAACTTGTTTAGGGCCAGTAGGGGTTGGATGCCTCAGTGCAGGAGCTTCCTGATTCTAAACTGTGGATTTTCGGAGAGGTTCTTAACCAGGTTTTTGTCTGGCAGCTTCATTTACTATGCCTTGGCTGGTACATCAGGAAACTTCACGTCTGCACATGGAAATATATGGAAAACTTTTATGCTCTTAGAGTGTAGTAATAAGCAAGAAAGTGAACTGGATGTTGCTTTGTGCTGGTCTGTACTTATAACTTTTCCAGTTTTTAGTAATTTGCAGTGGCAAACAAGGTTTCTGGTTCTGAGATTGCAAAATCATTTTGAATTTGCTCCTTTGAATTCTTTGCTGGCTGTGAGTTTGTGGCAGAAGTGATCTTAAAAAACTCTTGAGTCTGTCGTGGTGAGAGCATCACTTGGCCACAGAAAGGGGAAGTTTCCATGAGAGAAAATGAGAGTGAGTTTCTAATTCCACCTGGCAGAGGTGGGATTTGGGATTGCAGGAGGGATTCACTTGTCAGGCCTGATCTGTAGGGTGGGAGTTCTATGAGGAATTTGAAGTGGAATGTGTGTGCTGCTGGGAAGTTCTGCAGAGCTGCTGTCCAACCCTGTGGATTTGGGAAACCTCTGGCCAGGTGGGAGGCAAGGACAGAGTCCAGACTTCAGCACCAATAGTCTTGGACTTCATCCATGATTTATTTTCCCATGTTTTAACAAAAAATCAAAATATTACACCGCACATTTTCTGCTCCTCCCTCTCCCCTTCTGCTATTTTAATATAGTAACTAAATATTCATTATTAGCTTCCAACAGACTTTAAATAGACCAGGGACAGGTTTTTTCCTTGTAAATTCTTTTCCCAATCAACTTTTAAAAAATTTTTTAGTTTTGCAATTTTTAATGCAAAAATGAAAGTAGCTCATTAACACTCCAAGTAAAACTAATGTTCTGGCCCAGAAGCATCAACAACCTCATCCTTGCTATTTGGACAATGTGGACAATTTCTTACATTGCTTAAGTCAACCTTTAATACTCTTTTCCCCCATTCTCACTTCACTGCAGATTTTGTTTTGGACAGCAAAATTTCTGGATATGACAGAAACCATTCTATTAAACTATAGCTCAGGATGACAACCACTACTTTGGGAATAGTGACTTTAAGAAAAAAAAAATCAATTTCAGTTTGTCCTTCAGTCTTTAAAAATGACAGGTGTTCACTTTACGTGTTGAGTGGGCTCAGGAAAAAATAGAAATATTTTGAGATGATTGCTACTATAGAAGACACTAAAGATTCATTTCAGCTCAGCTCCTGTAAGAAGGAATATGCAGAATTACAGAGATAACAGCCTTTGTGCATTGAAAAACATCAAAGTGAAAGAAAGAGAGTATTCAGTATATTTAGTGAGAAAACACTTTCCTTCATCTCCCTCCTCCAGTAGCTGACTTTTTGGCAAAAATAACACCCAACGTGTTTTGACTGAAATGGAAATATTTCAGTCTGGAGAGAAGTTATTGCGATACCTCCTGGGAATTGCTGTTTGGAAACTCGGTGTGTCCAACCTGTTCCCTCTCCTGTATGACTCCCAGAGAACCACAGTCCTCTCTTCTGGCCACGGAGATTCTCCTGTGCTCTGTGAAATGCAGTCTGGAAGGAATCTGGAACCCAACAGCCCTGTGCTCTGGCACTTGGGATTGAAGTATTGCTGTTGCAGACAAACAGCTCCTTGGCCAGAAAGGAGCTGAGCTTCCCTTTGGCCAGCAGGAGGAATTCCTTCCCTGGAAGGGTGGTCAGGCCTTGGAATGGGCTGCCCATGGAGGTGGTGGAGTCTCCATCCCTGGAGGGGCCCAAGGAATGACTGGACATGGCACCCAGTGCTGTGGTTCAGTTGACAGTGTGTTGATCAAAAGTTGGACTTGACCTTGGTGGTCTCTTCTGGCCTTTGTCATTCTAGGAAAATAGTTTTCCATCAAGAAATAAAAGCGCTAATGAGGTTATTCAGTTTTTTCTGCTCTCAGCGCTCCATTGAAAGAGAGAAAAGTGTTGGTTAGGGTGAGAAGTGTCTGGGGTGGGGATGGCTCCCCAGTGCTTGTGTGGGGCTTGGCACAGTGAGAGCCTGACCTTTGTGGGGTCCCACTGGGAATTTATGGTCAGAAACCCCCATGGAGATCACATTCCAAAGAGATGTCCTTTGAAAAGGGTCGTAGAATCACTGAGGCTGGAAAACACCTCTAGGATTTCATCCAGATTTACCCACTATGGCCAAATCTACCAGCGAAAGATGTTCCTCAGTGTCACATGACCTAGCTTCATGCCATGAGATGTCCTTCTTTGTCCTCCACCAGAGCTCTCAGGTTCCCAGTGGGAAACGAAGCAAAGCTCTGTCATTTTTTGGGAATTGGATGTTGGTTGTGTGGGGCTAAGAGAGATGAACCCAGCCAACCCATGGAGCCTCTCCTCAGGAAGGAGAGCTAAGGGGACATCCAGGAGTCACCTCCTTGCAGGTGAACTCCTTGGAAGGGAAATAAGGTGAGGATGCAGCTTAGGGATGTCGTGTTGGTACAATTTTCATTGAGGATCACGGGGTGAAGGTGGAATAGGCAGCTCAAAACTATCACCTGGGAGGAGTGGGAGATCCCTTAGAACCCAGAGATTTGAGGGTCATCCCTGAGGTTTGATGCCACAGTTCTTGATCTTCCCCAGAAGCCACCAAAGCTGCCCTCCAGCTAAATCTTCTGATGGAATGAAATGCTGGGTGTCCACAGGCAGGTTCCCTGAATCCCACCACATATCCTGGCATCCATTGCTGCCCTGAATATCTGAGGGATAAATCTCTACTTCCTCCCCGTCCATCTCTCTTTTGTTCCTCGTGCACAGCCTGGATTTTAGTTCTGAGCAAATGCTGCTTCCAGGGGATGAAACCCCACCTTTGGAGCAGGCTGTCCTTGGCAAGCCCCCAGTTGCTGGGCTTGGGAAAGATTTCATGACCCAAGCAGAGCCACATTTCTTTGGGTTTGAGCTCCTGGGTGAATTTCCCTTCCATTCCAGCTCGGTTGCTGATGTTTCTGGCAGCCAGCAGAGCAGTGGTTTGGATGAAAGCTCCCTGCTGGCGTAGGTTTATATGATTGCTATTGTTAAATTTTGTAAATAAGTTCTGAGTTCTTCGGTGATAGATCCTCCCTGAGGGGTGTCACTGCAGGTTCAGGGCTCTTCCTCTGCATGGAAGAGGCCAGGTGAGCCTATGGATGGCATTTAAGGAGCTGCCCTTGCTCCAGCACAATGATTTTGGACAGGTGAGAGGGCACCTCAAAGCCAGCTTGGCCCAATGGCTACAGACTCCGAGGAGAAAACTTGTGTAGGAATCAGCACTTTGTGGCTGCTCTGAGCCTGGTGACACTTTGGGGAGCTGTACTACCTGATCTTAATGCATTTTAGCAAGCCTCTGGGTTCAGGAGGAGACACATACCTCACCTGAAGTGTCTGAGACCCCCTGTTCAGCTTCAGCTCTCCTGCAGAGCAGGAATAATCTTTGGGGTTGTCACATTGCCAATGTGTTTGGAGAAACATCTCCAAAAAACATTGTAGGGTCTTTGAGGAGAGGGGATTTCCAGCCTGTGTTGGCAAAGCATCTCAACTTCAAACCAGATCTGGGGGCAAGGGAACAATCCAGGCTTTCCCTCCCATCCTGCCTCTGCTGAGGCTCTGGTGTGCATCAAATCTCAGTGATTTATTTATTTCTCTTTTCTCAGCTTGGTCTGTGGTGCAGAGATATCCCATCCAGCACAAGCAGGCTGACAGACTCCAGGCAAAAAGAATGGGGACAACTATAAGGGAAAAAAAAAGTAGACCTAAATATTTAATCAATTTCCAAGTCAGCTTGGCAGAAATTATGTTTCTATTTACATGCATGTGCATATTGCAAATACATTACAAACAGTATGCAGCCTATAAATGCTGCAATATGTAAATAGAAATCTTGTTTGTTTTGCTGAAACTGCATTTATATATTTTATGTGTGTGTGTAAAATAGTGGTGGTTTAAAAAGCATGAATTTAAGGGGACTAAAAGGAAAGGGAATAATGAGTTCTGCATGGATAAAGTGTGACGAGGCTGCAGCCTCCAGGGAGGGATATCTCCATTTCCCTGAAAGCCAAAACAAACTCCATGACACTAATGTGCTGCCTTCATTTATTAATCTGCTGATCTATTTATTAATTGATTGCTTTGCTGACTTGTTTTTCTTCTGTTTCTTTGCTTGTAGTAAAGAGTACCCAGTTGTTCCCAGGAGCACAGTGAGACAAAAAGTGTCCTCGAATCACAGCCCCTTCAGCGGCGAGACCAGGGTCCTTTCTGCCTCCTCCAACCTGGGCTCCCAGTACCAGTGTGAGAACGGGGTGTCCAGCACCTCCCAGGACCTGCTGCCTCCTGCCAACCCCTACCCCATCTCCCAGGAGCACGGCCAGATCTACCACTGCACCAAGAGAAAAGGTCAGAGCTTGCCTGCTCCCTGCTCCGTGTTTTCCCCCTCCTAACATGACTGTCAGCATTGTTTCCTGATGTTTCCCCTTGGACAGCTCCAAGGATAACTGCCTTTGTGGGTAGAAAAACATCAAAGTGAAAGAAAGAGAGTATTTTAGATATTCAGTGAGAAAATTCTTTCCTTTGTCTCCCTCCTCCAATAGTTGATTTTTTGGCAAAAATAGCACACAACAAACGATGCTGGAGGATGAGCGAGGCATGAGGGTTGTGGGCAGCTCCCCCAGGCTGGGCTGGAAACTCTAAAATCCCATTTCTGCTGGGTTGGGAATGAGCTGTTTGGAGGGCTGGCAGTGCCTTTCACCCACCATGAATCCACATTTGGAAAGATAGCCGGTGCTGGAGATAAAGATGACTTATCTGCAGCCCCTCAGACAGGGGTAATCTCCAACTGGAGATACCTTGACAGTTTGTATTTTGCCCAGTTTTCAACTCAGGGCTGTCTCTCAGTTGGGAGACAGCTTTCTGTCTGCAGAAATGCTCAGACTAATGAAGGGTGCCTGGATTGAAACCCATGATATCCATGGTCCTTCCCTCCTGCTGCCACTGAGCTGCTTTGACAGAGCTTTAAGGATCAAACTGTGAGGGCTTTCCAGTGACTGCTCAGCTCATCCTGGCGTGAAGAGCCCCCTGATAGTGATGGGATAATTGTTCTGGGCAGGAGAGAGGGGTTTGTGGTCTCTGCCCTCTTCTCCCAAAGCAGTGGGAATGCTTCAATGCAGCACCACTTGTAGGACTGAGATAGCAAAAGCTTTAGAACAGTTTTACTTGGAAACAAATCGGGGATTTCCAGGGCTGGATGCAACAAGGGGTGGGCAGGAGCTGGTTTCTGCCAACCCTGTTGCCTTTCTCAGGATTTACTCTATGGATCTATGGAAAAGCTACCAGAAGGCAGCAAGCACCAAGGCAGCAGGAATTTCTCCCCACAGCAGAGCCCTTCCCGCTTCCCTGCACGACCCTATCAGTCAGACACATGTCATTATTTTTAGCAACATAACCCCTGGAGCACTGGGATGTGCAGACACACAGTCTAAGGTAGGGAGGGCTGGGAAGTGCTGGCAGAGGAGGCAGGAGGGCAGTGGAAATCTCTCCCATGTCCCTGGTGAATCCCCTGGATATTGTAGGAGCATGTGGGTTGTGTAAGGTATGCAAAGTAAAAAAAAAAAAAAAAAACAAACCGAGAAATCCTAATATTTTGGTGAGATTGAGGTAAACAGTGGAAAACAGGTGGCATTTTCTGTCCCCTCCAGCTGACCAGGTGACTGTGCTCACTTAGAATGTGTCAGAGCAGGGATTGGAAATGGGGATGCTGGCTGTAAGGCGGGGAATAAGGAGATGCCCAAAGTGTCCCACCGGTCAGAGGGTGTGGCCTGTTTTACCCCTGCACTGCTGTGGGGGTGAAGTGTTGGGGTGCTGCCAAGTCCCACTGCTGGTGGTGGAAGGTGATCCCAGTGATCCCTGCTCAGTGCTGGGAGCTGCAGCTCCTGGGAGTTCTTTCTCAGCTCCGCTATCCTGGGAGCTGAGCTCTCACCTCTGCTCTTCCCCCTTTTCCAAAACTAACCAAAACAAGCTGGCCCAAATGACAAGCAGCCCTTGGGACAATCCCTGACTGCTCCGTGTCCCTGCCCCGCGGGCAATTCATCATTCGCCTCCGCATTGTAACGTGATAAGGAACCAACAGAGGTTTCCTTCCAGTTTTGGGATTCCCGCTAAGTGGTGTCTCCATGGGTGGTTTCCCTCAATCCCCCAATTATCTCACTTCCTCTTATTGTCACAGAAGACACGGCTATCTGCCCTGGAATAAAGCTCCCCGGCCCGCTCGGCCTGCGTGGCACAGCGCGGGGGACAGGCCAGCGAGGCCTTGTCTGCAGGGCCCATGGCCCCTCCTTATCTCTGCCATGCCTTGAGTGGCACAAGCAGTTAAGGGCCTTTTATCAAAGCCGCCAAAGGCTTTAATCAAAGAGGAGCAGCGTCCTGCCCGATAGCAGCGGCTTCTTCCGCGGGGCTGGGTGTCCCGGCAGGCCGAGCCGCTGCTCTCCTCCCTGCGCCGCCTTCTCTCCCCTCCCTGCGCCTTTGGTAAATCGAAAACAGCCACCAGGGCTTAGAGGAAAGAAACACAAAGTTAATAGGAACCAGAGAGCCAGCCTGAGCTGCCAAGCAGCTCTTTGCAAAGTGAAATTAATTAAAAGGAAAAAAAAAATCATTAGAGATGAGCGATTCGGGTTGGATAAATCGGAGCGTGATCCAAGGTTTCCTGTCACTGAGCGTGGATCTTCCTTCCAGCACCAGCAAGGATCTTTGTTGGACATGGGAAAATAATCCTATGTATGATATTCCTCTTTTTTTTTGTGCTGTTCCAGCCTCTCATTTCTGAGTTTCCCCTCACAGTTCTCCTGCTTTCCTACATTTGTGCTTAACAGTTAGCAAGCCTCACCATCTCAGAAAACTCAAAAGCAAGAGCTTGTCTGCTCCTACTGTCCCTCTGTCCATTTTCTAGACTGGAAATCTTATTGATTGTGCTGGACTATCCACTCCCCAAGCATTGACTCCTCCCCAGGCAGTTAGGATTTATCTCAAGCGGATTGTTTCCTTTCCCAAGGCTGTGGTTACGGATAAGTGCTCTCGGGGGCAGAGGGCAGTTCAGCTGGCTTTGTGACCAGCTGCTGTCTGCATCTTCTGGGGTGAATTCCAAGCCAGTCTCCTTCCAGCTTTGACATCTCCTGAACTTTCTCTGCCTCCTCTTCAATCAGAGCCAAGCCTTGGGTTAGGCTCACTTAGGGACAGGTCTGTGTTCACCCAACTCAAAAGAACCTTGTTCAACTTCTGCTTTCCTGGTGACCTAAGACAAGGATAAGTCTCTGTGGCTGGCAGTGTTGTTCTTAGCTGTCAAGGCAAGATGGATTCACTGTGGAGATCTGATATGGAATTACATTAGGGGAGAGCAGCAGGGCTGCCAGGGGATGTTATCGCTGAAGGCTCCCCTGCTTCAGGGAGGTGATGCTCTCCTGGCTGAGGAAGGAAGGAAGGACACATCCCAGAGCTCCTAATCTGGTGATTCCTGGTGTGCAGGTGGGAGGGCAGGGTCACAGCATTGGGAATGACCCCGGTGCACTGCAGTGGGGTCACTGTTCCAGGAATGGGGAATGGCAAGGATCATCCTGCCTTGTATCCCAGCCCCACAATGGGATTGCTGATGGTACATGACAAAGTCACTGGTCTTGAGAGGATGGACTACCTCCAACCCTGGATCTCATCAAAGAGTGGCCTCAGCTCTTGATGTGGATTTTTAGGTTGGCACAAAGAGCAGTTGGAGCTTTGTCTTTTTTTCTGGTTGTTCTCCACCTCTCCCTCTCCCATTGTTGTGCTTGGAGAAGCCCAAAAGGCCTCACCAGCAGGCAGCTTGCCTGGTGTCTTTCATTTAGCCCCACATCCCAGTTAGGATACTGGGCCTTGTTTTCCCTTGTATTATCCTCTCTCTCAGATATCCTGTGGACTAAATAGTCGTCCCTCCAAACCTCTGCTCCCTCCCAGCCTTACACAATCCCAACCACTTGGCAGATTTCTGGGATGCTTGCGATGCTGAACAGGAGGCAACTGGAACAGCCTCTCCCTGGGGAGGTTATAAAAGTTGTCAAGTTGGCACTCTGAGGGAGAAGGACGTGGCAGAATGCACTGGCTCCAACCAGTGAGGACCATGTCCTTCAGCCCCCTAACATGGAGATCCCCCTGGGGAAGGATTTATCTTTCATCTCCTTCCTGCTCTGATGAGGTCAGTGCTGGTACAGCAATGCCTTTCCACCTTCTCTTCAAGAACAGGCACTGTCAATGTGCACAGACCTCTTTGTAGACTGAACCAACTTCTCCCACGTCCCGCCCAGCTTTGTTTTTTCACTCAAAGAATCTGTAGGACAAAATTCAAGCATGGGATGTCTCCTTGGAGGATGCACTGCTCACCTTGCCGATGTCTGGAGATGTGATGAGCTGGCCAAGGCTCGGGCTGTGCTGCAGCTGGAGAGACACAGTGGAGCCCAGGGCAGGGTGGCTGTGGGACACTGAGGGTGAGGAAGGGACTCCCTGCATGGGGAGGAGATGTTCAGGGAGCTGGGGTGCACCCAGCTCTTGCTGAGCAGCCACACTCTTGTGGCACTGTAGTTTGATATTCCTAATGAGGAAAGGCTGAGGGAGCTGGGCCAGTCTTGACTAAGAGGGGACCCCATCAGTGTCTGCAGGGAGGTGCCAGGGGATGGGCCAGGCTCTGCTCCATGGTGTCCAGCAGCAGGACAACAGGCAGGGTCTGATGCTTGGGAGGTTCTACCTGAACATGAGGAAGGACTTCTTTCCAGTCAGGCTGCCCAGGAGGGTGTGGAGTCCCCTCTCTGGAGATATTCTAGAATTTTCTGGACACAATCCTGTGCCATGTGCTCTGGGGTGACCCTGCTGGAGGAAGGGGGTTGGACCAGATAACCCACTGTGGTCCCTTCCAACCTGACCCATTCTCTGAACCCCCTCTCCTGTCAGAGGTGCCTCTGTGCCTCTGCAGAGTGCTGGCAGCTTGCTGCCTGTGGAAAAGATTCCAGCTTTTGGGGGTTGGATTGTCCCTGTCCCACAGCCCTGCTGTGTTCAGTACAGCACAGCCATATCACAGTGAGATATAGCTGGAATGGCTGGCTCTCTTAGGTTCCATGTCCTAGGATTTAGGACTTATTTCCCCTTTAGAAATGTTCATTTTGGTTGGATCTGCCTTGTCCTTTTCTTCTTGGACAACCTTTGTCACTCTTGCAGCCTGGTATTGGCCCTTCAGGCTCGTGTCAGATCCATGCTGGAATCCAGACTGGATAAAACAACAGTTAGTGATAATCACCCATTGTGTTTCTCTCACAAAGTCAGGATGAACCTCCTGTAACGCCCTGGAAGTGTGGGTGAGCTCTGAAAACCAAACGAGTTGTGTCCCATTCTTCATTGTCTTCCACCCTGGGGAGATGAGTGTCATGTGTGGGGAAGGAGCTCTCCTCATTTACACCAAGGGACAGAGGGAGCCCAGCACACCCTGAAGTCCAGAGGCTTTCCATGTTTGCATTTCATTTGACGTGGCCCGAATCTTGGAATTGGGGAAAATTCCATTTAAAAAGCCATTTGCGTGGTATTTACAACCCAGCTGGAAGTAGTAAATACCGGAAATCTTGGAAGCGCTCATGCTCTCGCTCAAGCTCCTTCATTAGATAGATCATCAAATTCCTTGTGAGGGAGCCAGTTTCCACCCCATTCTTCAGGCTCCGTTTTCCTTGGATTCACTTCAGAGCAGCTTCTCCCTGGCGCTGGCAGCTCCCCCTGCTTGGCAGCACCTCCTGCTTTTTGAGGTTTGTGCAGCATCGAGGGGCTGCTCCCTAGAGCTGATCACCACCCTTGGCTTCCAAGAATAGCAGCAACAGGGGAGGATGGTCAGGATATCTCCCAGGATAGCCAACAGCTCCTCTGAGGGCTCAGTGGCACCTGGAAAAGGACAAGGAGCTGCTGTCAAGGAATCAACACCAGGAATCAAACCCTGAGCAGGCAGTTACCTCTCCAATGTCCTGCTTATGTTGATAGGAGGAGGTAAGAGGACCTTCAGGGACAGGATCATCCCTTGAGCTGCACTGTCCAGGCTCCAGAGCCCGTGAGGATGAATTGAAACTGCAGCCTTTGGCATTGCATGAGAGACCTGTTTGTCTTGAGCTCCTTTTGTCATTGAAGATGTCCTTTCCACCCTAAAGCTGCTCCACACACCTGGGGATGCCCTCCAGCTGCTCTGTGCTGGCTCTGTCTCCTCTGTGAGGAGGGGTGGGACAAGACCAGAGAGCCTGAACTGCTGTAAATCCCTCAGGCAGCACTAGCTGAGGCTCCCTGCTCTGCACTATCCCACCTCAGCATTCACATGGACCATTCTCTTCCCTCTTTAGCACTTTGAGGCTCCATAAATGGGAAAATTACTGGGAAGAGGAGCAGGAGGATGGGCAGAAGCTGTTAGGGCAGGCTGGAATCCTTTGTTAGAGCCTAGGTCCCATTTGAAGGTGAGAACAAGGTCTTTACACACTTTAAAATCACTTTCCACATAAAACATCAGTGAACCTGGCTCTAGAGAGACCAGCAGAGAGATCCTGAGAGCTTACAGAAGAACAGAGGGCACTTATGGGGTTTCCACTGAAATCCTGGTTGGCTTTGTTTTTTCTCTTCACCTGTGATAGATTCTGGAAGTGGTTCTGTGACACTGCAGCTCTGCCCAGCTGGGCTGTGGCAGGCAGTGAAATGTCTGGGCTAAATGGAAAAATCAGCAAGCTCAGGTTGTAAGTCAGGCTGTTTTACACCATGGAAAAACAGAGTTTGACTGGTTTGTGTTGTATATTTAAAAAAATCAAAATAAAATAAACAGTCAAACCCCAAGCCAATGATTTCTGGTGCCAGCAGAGTGATGCGGTTTAATGCTGAAAACTTTATTAGCAGAACAATGCTGCATTTTACAAGACATTGTTTTTCCACCCCAGTGTTCTTATTACTCAGCGGTGGGTCAGGAATCCAAACTTTTTACACTGTCCATAAAAGCTCCAGCTCAGGCTGTTCTTCCAGATGTAGCTCCTGTCATGGAGCTGAGATCAGGAGAGAGGTTAGACCTGTGCCTCCAGCTCTAGGCTTTCATGGGACCCCGTCCTTTCCCCTGCTCCTACAAAAACTGGACCTGAGCTGGATTGAGGAGGATGACAATTCCTGCATCTCCCTGCTCATTGTTTCAGCTGGTTTCAAAAATGGGATGCAATTGCTCATTGATCTCATCCTGCTTCCCACCCCGATGTACAGGGAAGGCAGAGGAGAAACTTGATCATTAGGACTCTGCATTGCTGAGGTGAAGGAGCCAGGCTTTGGTGTTGTCAGGAAGAATGAAATGGGACTGTGGCTTTCCAGCTGAATTGATGCTATTACAGAGCCAAAGGCCACTGTGGGGATGTCCCCATAGTGTCCCTCAGAACACCATGATGTCCCCAGGTGTTCCACTCTCTTTGTGGCATTGTTGGACCAAGATGAACAGCAGCAGTTGTTCCAGCTGGACTTGGAAGACCCCTGGGTGGGAACAAGGGGTTATTTTATATGCAGAGAGGGGGCAGCTTCCAGGAGAGCCCTCATGGCTGTTCAGGGCAATAAGGGTTATGTGCATGTGTGCGTTTAGAAGAAACAAAAGATGCCTGCACTGCCCACCTGCCCCTCCTGAAGGTGTGACATGAGCATTCCTCTTGGATCAGCCTGGCAGCAGCACCTCTGTGCCTCTTGTGGGGCAGAAGCTCTCAGTCCTCCTTTCTGTGCAACTCTTCGGGGTTTGTTTCCCCACCGTATTTTGGGGGTGGAAAAAATTACAGCTCAAAACACGTTGGTGGAGAAAAGTTGTAAAGGGTAACTTGTTCCAAATTTCTTTCAAATCTGACCCCTGTTCAAAGGGTGCAGCCAGGACAGCTCTAACCAAGTGGGATGTTTTCCTGCCTGCACCAGAAATCTTGTTTTTGAAGCAGCAGCAAAGTTAATCCATGTCAGAACAGCTCCCCTTCCCTTGCCACACTGTCCTTAAAATCTCTTGGTGAAGTCTTCATCCCTGGGAATTTTGCCATCCATTCCAGCAGAGCTGGATTTCATTTGATGACCCTGTGAATGAATAAATAAGTGCACATTCATTTATTCATTTGGCCTCACCCTGGAGATTTCACCTAAATTGTTTATCTCCTTCCCTCTGCTGGCTTGGGATGCTGGGAAACAAAGGGCTCTGCAAGATGTGCCTTGCTGTTTCTAGCTGTGAAATTTACTTTTCTCCTTTGTTCCCCTTGGCTCCAGCACATGTTCCTGTGTGGATTTATGTGCCCACAGCCCTGTGTGGATTTATGTGCCCAGCTGCCTTGGCACAGCTGAAGGCTGGGGCTGTCAAGCTCCAAATCTGATTGTCCCAACCATGCTGGTGCTCTCTTGGGAGGATTTTTATTGTGATCTCCTTTTTTGTATCTTTTTATCATTTCTATTTTATCATGGAAATATTTTGTTGTAAAGGATTTGAGTTGACAGGATCAGCTGTGAGCCTCCTGTGGGAGAGGGGGGATCCTGGTAGGTGCAGAGGTCACAGGCAGATGTTATTCCTCAGGTAAAAGTGGCAGCAGGAAGGAGATGGGGAGCATGTGGGGGGGATCACCAAGCAAGATAAACCTCAGGATCCCTCCAGCATCTTGATTTTCCTCCCGGAGTTCCTGGCTAATCCCTTTTCCTCCCCAGCAGAGAGGGCCAAGTGCAAGGCTTGGTTTCCACAGGATAGATGAGATCAGTTCCAGGGAAATGATGGGGATTTACACCGAGGGAAGTGTCAGCTTGTCCTCGGTAAAAGCAGAACTGCAGAGAGGGACCTTCAGCTGCGGGTGCATTACCATTGGTGGCTACCAAGGACTTTTCTCTCCCAACAGATGAGGAATGTTCCACCACCGAGCATCCCTACAAGAAGCCCTACATGGAAACCTCTCCAGCAGAGGAGGACCCTTTCTACAGGCCCAGTTACCCGCAGCAGCAGGGACTGAACACGTCGTACAGGACTGAGTCGGCGCAGCGCCAGGCCTGCATGTACGCCAGCTCGGCGCCGCCCACGGAGCCCGTGCCCAGCCTGGAGGACATCAGCTGTAACACGTGGCCCAGCGTGCCCTCGTACAGCAGTTGCACAGTGTCTGCCATGCAGCCCATGGACAGGTTACCCTACCAGCATTTCTCTGCCCACTTCACCTCGGGGCCGCTCATGCCCCGCCTGGGCAGCGTGGCCAACCACACGTCGCCCCAAATCGCAGACACCCACAGCATGTTCCAGCACCAAAGCTCTCACCAGCCCATCGTGAGGCAGTGTGGACCTCAAACGGGCATCCAGTCCCCTCCCAGCAGCCTCCAGCCGGCGGAATTCCTGTATTCCCACGGCGTGCCTCGAACCCTGTCGCCCCACCAGTACCACTCGGTGCACGGCGTGGGGATGGTGCCAGAGTGGAGTGAGAACAGCTAACCAGGGGGCAGGGAATGCCAGAGCCACGGGAAAATCCCAGCAAACGGGAGAAGGAAAAGGAAAAGAATCCCCCTGTTGATAGCAGAGCGTTTTGCAAGACTCCTTGAAGTGAATGTTCACCGCTAGCACTCAAGAGGGACGGACACTGACTGAAACCACGGCTGGAAGTCATCCGCCTCCGTGTGACTTGCCCTGACCCCCCTTTTGTTTTCTTTGGTTTCAAAAGAAAAGCCAACAGCCCAGCACACTTCTGTCCCTCCACGGTCCCACCCAGTTTGTTTTGCTGCCACCACCCTCGTCCCCCACCCCCGTCCTTCTGCTCTTTTTGTTCTCCAAGGGACACCAAACTCCTGCTGCCTTTCTCACCACGGTCAGAATGCTTGAATGAGAACAATTAGGATGTTACTTTTTTTTTTTTTTTTTTTTGTGGTGTTGATGTTGACAATGTTATATAATAAATAATAATATATATTTTTTCTTTCCATTTTCTCAGAAAAAAAAAAAAAGAAAAAGACACCAGCCCTTTTTACCAAGGGTGAATTTTGGAGTGGTGTTTCTTTTTTTTTTTTAGGTAGTGTTATCTTTACTTTTCAACAGAAAGAGGTACTGAGAACCCCCAAACAAATAAATCCAGTACCTATCTCACCCAGGCATTGTACCAAGAGTGAAATTACTCCCACAGGGAGCTGTGTTTCCTTACAAACTCCCCAAAATTCTCTCCAGGAACCATTCCATAAACCATCCCCTCATCTCCTTTCCCACTTGTAATTCTCTCACTCCTCTTCCCTTCCCAACTCCTGGTCTTTCCTGGTCCCTCAGCAGTCTCTGACGGAAGCATGGGGTTATTTCCAAGCTTGCAAACATCCCCAGCTTGAGTCCTGCTGGATTTTTAGCAGCGTGTGGAAAGCCAGGCTCTGAGCCAGCTGCCACAGGGGGAGAGGGGGGAGACGATGCAAACACTGAGAGGAAAAAGTTTGCTCACCAAAATGATGATGACGCTTGTTTGCAATCCCAGGCTTTCATTTTCTCCTGTGTTCCTTTGCTTCCTCTCCAAAAGAAAAAGGAAAAATTAAAAAAAAAGGGATACCAGTCTGGGTGTGTGATGTGAGATATTAAATAAATGTGTTTAAAAGGGGCAGAAAGTGATCATGAGAGGCTGGGAGTGGTGGAGGCAAAAAGAGAAGGAAAAGCAAATTTGTGCAAGGAAAAATGTCTACTGCAGAACCTTTCAGGTGTAAAATTTCCTGGTCCTATTTATTTATACGTGGGAGTTCCAAAAACTCCAAGGATGTTACAAAAGCAGCTGATTCCAAGAGGTTCAAATTTTTATTGAAATGGAAGTTTGCTTTCTTTTCTTCTTTTTTATTTCCTCTCCAAGCTGTGCACACTCTATATAATTTACATATATTTTTAATTAAAAGTAATTCTAATTAACTAAAGAGGTATACCTGCGTGTCAGCCTCTGGGAATGCGGGTGGGAATTGTGGGAATTCTGATGTGGGAGGGAATATAGACAAGAACCCAAAGCCATGGAGCTAAGGAGAAAAAAATAATCACAACTTAGCAGTGCCCTCCAATTTTTGTGTGCCAATTTATGGCTAATAAAAACCACACACTCACTGGCAAGGGAGTGCCCACCTATTTTTAAAGTATTTTTGGGTTTGGGGCAGTTTTACCTGATTTTTTTTGCCCCTACTTGATGCCTATAATTGAATTTTTATTGATTTCTGCTGTAGCAGAGGAGGTGCAACACCACGGGGGGAAGGTAGGGCTGGGCTGAGCTTGAGCTGAGTTTGGGGCTGTGGCCTTGTCTGCTCCACAGCTGCCTGGGTCCCCCAGGGCCCTGCTCTCCTGGGGTCACTGTCCCATCCAGGCAGATTCACAAAGTGACCTTGGGGTGGCACTGGGAATGCCCAGCGAGGTGGAACTTCCACCCTGTTCCCAGGGAAGTGAGGCTGGTGGCAGGTCTTTGGCCCAGGGGAGGTGTGGGGTTGTGTCCCAGCCTCGGTGAAGGAGGGGAGATGCTTTGGGAACTGGAAACCAGGTGGGAAAATCAGCTCCAGGGCAATGAAGAGATTTCAGGTGGGAAGCCCAGGAGAAAGGTTGGCTCTGTGCAGCTGCAGAGCCAGGATCACCTCAGGAAGAGCATGGAAGGAGCCCAGGAGGTGTCCCCAGCCTGGCCAGGATCACCTCAGGAAGAGCATGGAAGGAAAGGAGCCCAGGAGGTGTTCCCAGCCTGGCCAGGATCACCTCAGGAAGAGCATGGAAGGAGCCCAGGAGGTGTCCCCAGCCTGGCCTGGCCAGGATCACCTAGGGAAGAGCATGGAAGGAGCCCAGGAGGTGTCCCCAGCCTGGCCAGGATCACCTCAGGAAGAGCATGGAAGGAGCCCAGGAGGTGTCCCCAGCCTGGCCAGGATCACCTCAGGAAGAGCATGGAAGGAAAGGAGCCCAGGAGGTGTTCCCAGCCTGGCCAGGATCACCTCAGGAAGGGCATGGAAGGAGCCCAGGAGGTGTCCCCAGCCTGGCCAGGATCACCTCAGGAAGAGCATGGAAGGAGCCCAGGAGGTGTCCCCAGCCTGGCCAGGATCACCTCAGGAAGAGCATGGAAGGAGCCCAGGAGGTGTCCCCAGCCTGTCCCTTGCAGGGACACCGAGGGACTCCCTGCAAAGGCACAGAAAGGCAGCAGGATTGTTCAGACACAGAAAGACGGGGTTGGCTGAAAAGGTGTTTAAAAGAGGGTTTATTGCAAAATCAGTCTCGTGGAAGGGTGACACTATAAGGTTGTTACACACAAAACCATCACTTTAGAAGCTATATATTAGAGGCCTTGCATCAGAAGCTGTTATAATTGTAGTTACAATGTCTTTTACAAAGTTCTTATCCAATCAGCACCTTCCACAAAGCTCGCTAGCATCTTCATTACCAATTGCTAATTGCTAATTTTTATACAATTTACCCCAAGGCATCTTTTTCTGTCCAATCATAGAACTCTACAGAAACTTATTGCTGTATCTTCATCCTTTTATCAGCTCTGTAGCAAGTTCTGTTGCTAAACTTTGATTGTATTCTACTAACTTGCTTATTTCTTCACTTATATGAGGCCTAGATCTACTTGCTTAAAACATATTTCTGCTTAAACTACAAATCTTTATTCTTCTTTTGTGTCTGTTTCACTGTTCTATTCTCAAGCTCCAGCCCTTCTCCAAGGTCTTAGGTCAAACACTGTGTCCATCTCTGTCTCTGAGCATGTATGCTTGAGGCCTTGGGAGCTCTCTGTGCTTGCATTTCCCACCCAGGATCAGCAGGGCCACTCCACAGAGATATTTCCACCTTGCTGTCCCAGGGATGTGGGGCACGGAATCTTCTGGGTCTCTCCCAGCACTGCCTCCAATAAAACTTTTTTTTTTTTTGGATGTCTGCTTTTACTGCCTCATGGCTGCAAAACCTTTTGGGATTGTTGGGTTAGACACAGCCAAAATGTGACACTGGAGCTTGCTTTGGGTATCAACAACATTTGTGGGCAGAAGGAGATGCAGGCACCACATGTGGGCAGGGCTGGGACCTCAATTCTTGCAAAGCTTTTTGTCTGTATGGAGCCACCCTCAGGGAATCCCCCAAACATTGCATTAAATCACACAGAACATGCAGTGCTCCAAGATTGATGAGTAAATTGCATTTTGAGTTAAGGAACACAACAATTACACTGTATTTAGCTGTCATCTACGTTGTCCTTTCCCAGCTTCTCTCTCCCACTGCTGACCATGTAATCATCTAATCCCCATCGAGTGATTCCCATGTAATTTGAGGGGCAGTGGTTACCCTGTAAGTAAAGAGGTCTCCCCAGAAATGCCTGCCAGGCATCTCAAAGAGGATTAAGGAAAACTAAACTCCCATGGAAAATTACTTCTTAAGCATTGGGAGGAAAGCCTCAAGCTTCCAACTCCACTCATTTCCTCAGAGCGCCTCAGGTTTGGTTTTTGGCTCTTAGGGTTATGCTGAGATTCTGTGATGGGTTTTGGGGTTGGAAAACCAGGCAGATCCCTGAGGATACAGCCTTGTGGAGCCACACTGGTATGAGGAGCAGGGAGGCCATCAGCAGCAGAATCATCACTCGTCACAGCAGTAAAATCTGGGATCAGGGCAAAGGAAAGGTGGTGGGAGGATCCAATGCAGCCTTTTCCTCCTCTTTTGAAGCAGTTTGTCAGCGTGGCATTTCCATATGGAATTCCATTTCCATGGGTAGGACTGGGAGGAGTCAGGAGGTGAAGGGAAAAGTGATCCCAGCCTGGATGTGGAGGTACCTGCTCTACCTTGAGCTTCTACTTTTCCCCAAGTGGTCCAAAACAACACCAGGAGCTGTCAAGAAGAGGGCTGTCCTCTCCCTCTGTGATTTTATGTTCCAAAGAGCCTAATGTGATTTCTTTGAGATCCCAGCCTGGATGTGGAGGTACCTGCTCTACCTTGAGCTTCTACTTTTCCCCAAGTGGTCCAAAACAACACCAGGAGCTGTCAAGAAGAAGGCTGTCCTCTCCCTCTGATTGTGATTTTATGTTCCAAATATCCTGATGTGATTTTCTTTTCTTATGGATTTATTTCTTAGCCAAGAATAATAATGCCGACTATAACAATAAACAGCAAAATTAGGGGGGAAATTACATTTGTCGGAGGACGAATTGGACAAAAGAGCTTGCAAAATTCACCCTATTCAGAGCTAAACTGGCAATTCTTCCCTGTGAGGGTGGGGAGGCCCTGGCACAGGGTGCCCAGTGAAGCCCCTGGATCCCTGGCAGTGCCCAAGGCCAGGCTGGACAGGGTTTGGAGCAGCCTGGGACAGTGGAAGGTGTCCCTACCATGGCAGGGGTGGCACTGGATGGGCTTTAAGGTCCCTTCCCACACAAGGGATTCCTTAATGAGTCATAATTCTTTAATAAGAAACCTTGAAACGCGAGGAGGACCATCCCCAAACAATCCTCTGGTGTTTTCCACAAACCCCACTGAGGGTGTTGGGGTGGGCTGGGGCTGGGCTGCTCAGGGACAGGGATGATGGAGCAGAGTCCAGCAGAGCTGCACCCCAGGGGAGGAGGGAACTGGGCCCCAAAGGGAGCTCCAGAGGAGGAGGCGAGCTGCTGAGGTGGGGGGAGAAGGGAGTGGAGACCCCCCTCCCCAAGAGCAGGGAATCTGCTGAGGAAAGGAGCCATGGAACATCACCAGGCAGGAGGCAAACAGGCCTGTAGGGATGAAGCAGAATAAACAAGGGCAGGCTGAGCAATTCCTTGGAGCACAGAACCCAGCCCACGCTGAGAACACCTTTGAAAGGGTGAGCAGCAATTCCAGCCTGTGGTCACAATGCTGTTTTTCCAGCTGCCTCCCTGGGCTCAAACACTCCCTGCCGGGTACCTGAGAGGATTTTGATGCCCTGAGAGGCACAGAGAGCTCTTTGTCCGCCCCTATCAATCACTCCACATTTCAAGTTTCACCAGCCACAGTGCTGGGTGGGTTTTGAGATGATTTTCCCCACCAGCAGCCCCCAAACCTGCTCTGGTGAAGCTTTTCCTACAGGCAGGGTTGCTTGGAAGGGGCAAAGTCACCCCTGTGCTGCTCAGGCTGCTCCCACGGCAGAGCCAACCTCCCAAAAATTGCTGTTGTGCCTCGAGGGCTGAGGGAAAAAATATCCCAAAGCCTCAGGATTCTTGTCCATAAATCCAGCCCACAATATCATAGATTTTACAGTGCTGCCAACTCTGACAATTTTATGATGGGTCTCATGTGATTTGCAAAAGTGTGGTTTCGTTTTTTCTCTTAAAATTTCCAGCTCCTGGACACCAGTGAATATATGAGGTTCTCAAAGGATTCTGAGTCTTTCCCCCACTGCCCTGTTTTTGATTTTTTGTTTGATTTTAGAACATACTCTAAAGTTGGAAATTTTACTGGAGAGAAAAGTGAGGCAGAGAAAACATGACTTGGGAGGTGGAGCTGGAACTCATCATGGGCCAAGAAATATTTAGTTTTGGGGCCTTTTTAATTTGTTTGTTTGCTTTTTAAAATTGTTTTTCTCTGTTAAAGTCAATGCCTTTGCTGTGTTATTTTTGAGTAACAAAAATGACAAAGTTAAACTGAGTGGCAAATGTTCAGAGCGTGGTTTGAATAAATTCCCACCCCCGAAGAGGGGCAATATTTCATTCACATTTAGATTTTACTCCTTCAAAATTTCCATTTAAATTTTCCAACCTGAAGTCGTTTCAGAGGGACATGTTTCCCTTGAACCCATCACACCCAGGGGCTCCAATATCTCCTACTTCCTTTTTTTTGGTTGAAGCAAATCCTTCAGGCTCAGTGCCTGGTTCTGGCTGTGGGATTTGGAGATTTTGCCCTGCACCTGTAAGGACTCAGCTACAGAAAAGTGGAT